GTGCATGGTCACATAACTCCCCCAGAAACAAATCAGAATGAATGATCACTGAACAGCCAGCATTATATAACATACATCCCCATAAGCTTTTGCAAACAAATCAAGATTAATTCTCAATTAATAGGTGGCCTGGAGCTGACCTCTGTGTGGACTTCTGCTTTCTCTGTCTCCAGCACAAGGCTTGTGCGACAGGAAGGGAGTTCCCTGGAACATCTCCCAATGGATCTTTCAGAAAGACATCCGCAGTGTTAACAGACCAGGTGGGAGGGCCGTGAGTCAGCCCAAGCAGTTCTATTAAAATCTCTGCACCTGTTTCAGGAAGAAAAGGGCCAAGCAGAATAGGAGACAGAGGAGGCTCTGCCAGCTGGCAAGAGATGAATAGAGGAAGAAGAGGGCTTGTCGGAAGAAGAAAACTGCTGAGATGTAGCTTGTTCCCATTGTTAGGTTTAGTATTTGGTAAGACAGGAAGGAGACTGCAGCACAACACAGGCTGTGGAAGAATAACTGAATCCCGACTCAAACATTGAGATTAATCCAGCAGTGGGTGGTGGTGTCAGTCAGGGATGGTAGGGAGGAAGACAGCCGGTCTACTGGTAGGTGGAGAGACAAAAGCAGGCAGGTGGGAGCTGGCTGAGGGCAGACTTGAGGCTGGTGGGGGAGTGGTCCATTCATCCTCATGGACTAGCCCCCAGCAGATTAGTCTTCTGCCATGTCTGGTGTGAAGTTAGCAGGCCAAATGGAGATATTTTGCATAGAGACAGTAAAGAATGCTGGGAATGCATGTAGTTTTTGATACTATAAAAGGTAAAGGTAAAGGGACCCCTGACCAATAGGTCCAGTCGTGGCCGACTCTGGGGTTGCGGCGCTCATCTCACTTTATTGGCCAAGGGAGCCGACGTACAGCTTCAGGGTCATGTGGCCAGCATGACTAAGCCGCTTCTGGCGAACTAGAGCAGTGCATGGAAACGCCGTTTACCTTCCTGCCGGAGCGGTACCTATTTATCTACTTGCACTTTGACGTGCTTTCGAACTGCTAGGTTGGCAGGAGCAGGGACCGAGTAACGAGAGCTCACCCTGTTGCGGGGATTCGAACCGCCGACCTTCTGATCGGCAAGCCCTAACCTCTGTGGTTTAACCCACAGTGCCACCCGCGTCCCTTTTGATACTATAGTGGTTTTTAAATAAAGCAAAAATTGGGGTGTATGGGGTGTTGGGGGACATAGTGTGCTCCTTGTGGGGTAGTTTGACCACTTTTGGTCCCCACCCTGTACTCAGCTCTCACCTGTGGCTCCTAGAAGCTGCCATCACGCAACAGCAGTCACATCCTGGGAATGGCTTCAACTGGCTGGCTAAACCAGGTGAAGGTAGCCAATGGGTCTCAAACTCTTGGTGAGTTAGGAACTTCCCTTGCATTTGAAGACAGGCTCTGAGAGATTGAGTGGATGAGATCAATAGTGGGTCCAACAGTCAAGAAAGCAGTTTCTGCACATGCTGTAGAGGAAAGTGAGGGGCAGATGGGGCCTGTCAACTTGGGAAGGTAGCACACCTAGGAGAAGGAAAACTCTGATCCTTCAAGATGGCGGCATACATTTAAAAGCAACATTATAAAATGCTATGTAATAAAAGCAAATTAGTTTAAAACAATAATTAAAATACACCCAAACACATTTAAAACCAGCAGTTAAAAACAGCCTGCCCTGATAGCGGTCCAGTGATCAGCATTGTATATACCTTTATTTTTGGAATAAGGTCTTAGCCTGTTGGTGGAAGGATAACAAAGAGGGAGCCTAGTGAGCCATTATTGGGAGAGAATTTCATAATGTGGGAGCAACCATGGAAAAGGCTCTCTCTTCTGAGGATAATGGAACAGAGGGAAGGATCTTACCGCCTCGTCAGGTTCATACAACCATATAGGGCTTTATAAGTCACGACCAGCACTTTGAATCATGCCCAGAAATTAGTAGTTAGTGAAATTGTTTTAACCAAGGGTCAGGGCTGGGGCTTTGTCTTCTGTAGCTAAAGGTGACTGGGGCTTCTCCCTTCAGAGGATACTTTATAAATTTCCTAATTTGGCTAGAACAATATAGGTGGCAGCACTACCTGACTTTTAAACTTTCCGAATACAGATCGACAAACTTCTGTCCGTTGAACCCTATTATTGCACTTTGGAACTTTTTTGTCAGCAAAGTTTTTAAATAGATTGTGTAGCGATGTGGCAAGGATAGCAAATTCCCAAATGAACTCCATATAGTATTCCCTACAAATACAAAGGTTTTCTAATCCTTGTCATAGGATCTCCTCATTCATGCAAATCTTCAGTTTTTGACTCTCTGCTGCTATTCCTTCAGCAGCAGAAGATTGCCTCTTTAAAGAGTCTTGTTTAAACAATTAGCTTCTTTAAAACGTTGGCATTTTACTCTAGACCCCTGCCATAAGCAATGATGCCTATTCAACATTACTTTTTTTTAAACAAGCAAACCATCTGGCTGCCTAATCACATTTCAATGAAAATGTTATTGTATGGGGTAAAATGGTTTGGTGGAATTTTTATATAGATATAAAAAGAGTATCAGGTACCTAGTGTGGTTTTAAAAGGGTTTAGGGTATGGCACATGGGTCTACTGTTCATTGAGAAAGTACCCCTAGTTTCAAAAGTGGTTTGCCATTTAGTATTCAAGGTCTGCTGCCTTGAATTTTCAAGCCCAGAAGAAGAAGAAGAGGAGTTTGGATTTGATATCCCACTTTATCACTACCCGAAGGAGTCTCAAAGCGGCTAACATTCTCCTTTCCCTTCCTCCCCCACAATAAACACTCTGTGAGGTGAGTGGGGCTGAGAGACTTCAGAGAAGTGTGACTGGCCCAAGGTCACCCAGCAGCTGCATGTGGAGGAGTGGGGAAGTGAACCCGGTTCCCCAGATTACAAGTCTACTGCTCTTAACCACTACACCACATTGGCTCTCATTTCTTCTTTGATGTATCATATGAAAATACAGCTGAGGGAAGAGTGGAATATAAGATATCATAGTCAAGATCAGGAATGTATAGTAGTCAAAGGAGAAATTGTATTTGTTAGGTAAACTAATTGAAAACAAGTCGGACCCAGAAGCTGTTTGCCATGTTGTTCTCAGCATCCTGGCCACTGGGAGTAAAGGCTGTGGCATTCAACATTCAGCTACTGTGTTCCCTCACCCCACTTTTCTGATCATGCAAACTGACCCAGTCTCCTCCTTATTTATGTCTTTTAATAACATCTATGGGCATTTCAAGGCAGTGGTTCAGGGAAAGTGCTCTAATGTTCGAAGGGTCAAGTGGGTGCAGCCGGGCGTGGTGCAAAACATACAAGAGCAAATAATGTGAATATTGTATGAAGGGTTTATCAATTCGGAAAGGCATGGGAGCGCCCTTATTGCCAGATGTTTTAAAAGAGCATAGCTTCTGTTTGCTTAACTTAACTGTGCCATTCTTGAATGTTGCTGATTAGCAATATGCACTGGGAACTAGAGAATAATCGCTTTTTAAAGAACCTGGCCCTGATTTGGATGTGGTATAGTGGCTAGGCTGTGGGATTTGGAACAGGGAAAATCTGGGTTCAGCTCTCTGATCAACCATCAATTCTCTGGGTTACCTTAGGCAACCCATGACTCTTGGCCAAGATACTGTAACAGGATTGTTTTGGAGGATGAACCCATGAATAATGCCCTGATTTCCTTGGAGGAAGCAAGGCATACAATTAAGAAACTTCCAGCGCAGAGGTCCACTACAGTTGTCTATCCCCTTGCCAGCCCTTACATTAAATGCTAGTTTTATGGCCCTGGCTGCATGCCCTAGTCTCTGCAGCCAGTTGTCCAACATTAGTTTCCCAGCTTTTAGCAATCTTCATTCTGGCTGCATAAAGCCAATTAGATATTTATGTGACATTCCTTCATTCTCCCCTTCCCATACATTTCGCAAGCTCTTGCTTTGTAAATTTCATTCCTTGAAAATTAACTCCCAGTGCTTATATACCTCCTCGCAATGCCAGCACATGTGAAGATACAAGCCTCTTTGATTGCATCCCCTACCGCTGTATCCATTTACAAATTTTCATAAATAAGTATCCTGTATGAAGTTTCCCAAATTGTTGCCAGCATGGACTTGATGGGCTGTTTCTTCCACAATCTAACCAAAGCTAATAACTTTTAAATCCTGTTTATTCAACAAACAAACAAACATTTATTTTATTTATTTCCCAACTCAGCTTAGGTCGAGGTGTGATTCGCTTGTCAGCCTCTGCCTCTCGGTTTAAGCTGCCTCCCAGGGTTGTTGTGAGGGTAAAACACTGCCATCCTGAGCATTTTTGAGGCAGGAGAGTGGAGAATAGAAATGAAATGGATAAATCCAAGTCTATAGTTGCAGAAGACGGGCCCACTTTGCAGCTCACTTTCGTTGTCCGTTCAAACAGCAATAATGTGGTAGCATTCAGGAAGAATTGCACAGCGAATTAAAGCAGCATGAACCCACTGCTGATGCATTATTATGGTGCAAGAACACCCCCCACAAGGTCATGCCCACACCATACATTTATTTTTGCAAAACACTTAGAGTTGTGTGTTTTACAATCAAGTGGTACAGAAATCTTGCTTAAAGAAATACATTCACAGCACCTGGCTTCCTCCAGAGAATCCCAGGGACTGTAGATTACACCCCACAGAGCTACAATTTCCAGCACCCTTTTTTAAAAAAAGCCTATGGTTCCCAGGATTATTATTATATTTTTGAGGGGGAGAGCTATGTGCTTTATACATGCTAGAAATGTATGGTTCCAGTTGTTACCTTCCTCCTTCCCTCCCTCTTTGACAGCCAATTGCAATGCCTTTTTACTTGGGCACAAGTCCTACGGAGCTAACTTCCTAGCAAGCACATTTATGACGGCACTGGTCGCATGTGTGAAATACGCCCCCTCAGTGTTGTGAAATGATCACGGTCTCCACATTTTTGGCCTGCCTGCTGGCCTCCCTCCCGCCTTCTCCTCTCACTGCTTCATAAAGAGAAGTATTATAAGGCAATCTGAGAGAGAGAGAGAGGGGGCCCTTTCTCCCCCCTCTTCAGAAATGCATATACACACCCTGACCCTCCACCCACAAGAGAACTCTGGTGATAATTCGCTTGGAATATCTCATGTAAGGGGAGGGAAAAGAGGAGGAGAGAAAGAGGAGAGAGAAGGGTTTGTTTGCTCAGCCAACTCTCTCTCCCTCTCTCTTTAGTGGCTCCGGATTTGCTTTTTCCTTAATATTTTGTTGATGTTGTGGCATTCTCCAGCTGGTTTGCGGTGACCTAACAGGAACAAGACGGAGGCGTTTGTGGGACCTCGGGTGAGTGGCTTTTCCTTTTGCCTGTCACTGATTTTGGTGCCCTGATTCAGTCGGAGGAGCCTTGAGAGCCAGCACAATGCAACATGAGAAATTGTACTGGAGACAGCAATGCTTTGGCCTAGGGAGAGTAGACTAACAGCGCAATCCTAAGCCCCTCTGTGTTGAGGGGCCCCTCTGGCCCCATCGGCAATATACATTCAAAACAGCACCATGCCACTTTAAACAGTCACGACTTCCCTGCAAAGAATCCTGGGAGGTCTAGTTGTTGTGAGTGTTGTTAGGAGACCCCTATTCCCCAACATGCATAGTTACAATTTACAGAGTGATTTAACAGTCAACGCCTGTTCCCAGGGAATTCTGGGAAGTGCAGCTCCACGTGTGTCTAGGATTGCAAGCTGATAAAATGAATTGGCCTTGAGGGAACTCTAAGCAGGATTTCCCCCCCTTTTTTTTACACTCCTTTCCACTGGGGAGCCCTAAGGAAAATTGTGTTGGAGTAGGGATGGATGAGAAATCTGATTCAGTTCCCATTTGAAGATGAACCCACCAAAATTTCACTTTCTGAAACAATGTGCAAACTGAGACCCAGCCATCTTCTGAAATTCACACTTCTCTGAATTTTCAGTGCAGTTCTGCAGCCAAGTAATGCGTACCAAAAAAATGCATATACTAGGGTTAAAATGCACGTCAGTGGAAAACACCCGCAAAAATGTGCTATATTAAGGAAAATTGCTTTGCAAAATTGTGTATATTGGGAGAAATCCTCATTTAAAATGCTGGTGAATATTCACAAGGGCGATTTAAAAAAATCACACACTTATGTGGAAATGTGGAGAACTGAATTTAAGGTTGGAAAAATGGGGAGAAACTGAAATGAACAGGCTCCCTCATACCTAGCGATGGAAATGGAGAGGAACAGGGCAATGAAGAAGTTGTATGTGGGTGTGGAAGGACAGGCCATGACAGGGTCAAGCAATATGAATCACAGGCTGGAAATGAATTGTGAAACACTGTGGACTGAAGGCCCAGTGGTGTGTGTGTACATGTATGGAAAACAGGAGACCCGACTCCAAGAATTTGTTTTCATTTCACTGAGGTTGAGAAATCACTGTGCTTCCCTGAAAACAAGCACCTTGGGGAAAACATGGTTTGGTGCTTGGTGTTTGTGTGAGAGCCAGGCTAATACCTCTGTGAAACAAATCTAGGCTCCTTGATACATTCTTTTTATTGCACATCCATAATGATTTAGTCTCGTGATGTTATTGGAGCGGTCATACGCAATACCATTGGCACTTGCCAACGTTTTGGGGCAGGGATACTGCTCCTTTCACACCTCTTGCCCCCATGATAGAGGGGACCCAGGGCCATGGGAAATCAGTGCAATATTTGTGCATGCCTCACGGTGTGCAAGGACGACATCAGCATACACGTTTGTGCCCATGTTTTTGCCCTCAAATGAGCACACATCAGCCCTGTGCTGGCCCACACATGAGGCAAGGTGAGGCGACTGCCTTGGGTGGGCAGCAGAATTCACGGGGCAGCAGATTCCAATGTATATCTTTATTTCCCACCCCCTCTTGTTCCTGATGTAGCTTTTCATGCACCAATTTTTTCCCTGGTGGAGAGGAGGATGCCATTCTGTGGCTTGCCTCAGGCACCCAAATGTCTTGAGCAAGCCGTGCATCATCCCATGCGGGGTTTATTGCTGCATATATCAATTTGTCTGTATGTGAGCCTGCAGCAGATAATTTAAAAGAGTTCCTAAAGGAAGTCCCTTATCTATTGACCTTAATATTGCTGCTGTGAGCACAGTTGTGCCACTCCTTCAACTAGCAATTGCTGATACAAGGTGTCAAACCTTGGACTTTACCTCTGGGGCTGTTCCTCAACCTGGCTTGGCAGGCCTATTCTGAACACTGGCAAAGAGAGTTGCTTCCATAGAGATGTAGGCAGAGATTAACTTGGCCAAAAGTCACTTGGGATGAACTGCAAACGTCTCGATTGTTTAGCAAATTGACTCTCTCACCTGCGTAGGTGTGCAGCAGGACAGCCCACCCACCACAGGGAATTATGGGCAGTCCAGAGTGCACTGTTGATGATCCCTCATCTCAACCAATGCCATCATCTGAGCCAATCAGTTTCTTAAGCTTAAGCCAAGAAAGAGTATTCTCTATAAGATTGAATATCAATATACATATCAAGACTTTGAGATTAGACTACTGAAGAAGCCCGGAAAACTATCTTGGGAGTGTGGTACCTGAAGGCCCCAGTAAAAGGGCCCCATCGGGGGCAAACAGCGGCCTTTTGATTACTTGGACTGCCAGGGCAAAACAGGTGCAAAACGCCGGCACCCTGTCATCTACAACTTTATTGTCTACAACTTCATTAACATCTATCTACAACTCCACTAGCATCTCTCGGTATTGTGAATAACACCGAACTTACCTTTTGTTGGTATCTTTATGAACTTATCTAAAAGACTGAGTTAAGCATTTGAAAAATCTATTGGAACTAGACATTGTAAGTTCATCTTAGGTTGGTAGTTTGCAACTCTCTGCGGCTTTGTTTTTTTTTTTGTATTTTTCTCAGAAGGTTGATAAAGTATGTATAATTATTGTTCTGTGTATGTTAATCGCCAGCGTGTTGCATGAGTCGCACTACATCATCTGAGACAGGGCTGTGCCAAACCAAACATTTAGGAATCCCAAGCAGCCTCCCCTTTTAATGAAGCAGTTGGTGGCAGTGCTGGTGGTGGGGAACCCTGGTGTTATAGCCATATCTCTGTTTAGAAGTAATCCTCACCGAGTTAGATGGGACCTACTCCCATGTAAGTATGTATAGGACCACAGCAGCCAAAAATGTATTTGCTCTGGGCTTTGATGAGCTAGGATAAGAATGGTTGCTAACTTGTTAATAGAATCATAGAACCGTAGACTTGGAAGGGAACCCCAGGTGTGATCTAGTCCAACCCCCTGCAATGCAGGAATTTCAAATAAAGCATTCAAGACAGATGTCCATCCAACCTCTGCTTTAAAATCTCCAAGGAAGGAGAATCCTTTATAGTCATCTCCACTGCGTTGGTATATCTTTTATTCGATTTTGTTGATTTTATTGCTGCATGTATGAACAGGAATTGAAGGCATGAGTGTGCTACTGTGCAATCCTCTGCATTTTTACTTAGGAGTAAATCCTATCGAGTTTGCTTACTCCAAGGTAAGTGTGCATGGGATTGAAGTTTTAATTAAGGATCCCAAAGTCCAATCTGCAAACTCAAAATGGAAGGTCCCCTGCCTTCCATTTCAGAAATGGTCATTCTTTCTAGACTAGCTCTTATAGTATCCATACATAGTATCCTTGGGGGGGAAAGGTGTTTTGCAAAATTTCTGGAAATGGGAATGCAGAGTCCTCCCCTTAGGAGTCTAGTCTAAAGGCAGCAATATATACTGCATACAAACTCTTATAATGTAAACCTGATACCCTTGTCTTATACGGACAAACTTTGTGAATGGACTGCTGTCTCTCTTTAAAAAAAATTTATACAGCCGAGGGAGACCCAATTTGGATTGGAATGGTGGTGCTATGGCTGCTGGAGGTGAGGAAATGCAACACATTTTTAAAAAAGGATGAAAGAGGGTGCAGATTTGAATACATTTTGCATATGCTAATTTATACCTATAAATGTGGATTTAGGAACACACACACACACACACACACACACACACACTTATAAAATAATCAGAAACAAATGCATCACACCATACTGGGAAAGACTGTGACTAGAGGCACTTGCAGGCTTGCAATTTTCAGGTGGGATGCATAAAAGGTAAAGGGACCCCTGACCATTAGGTCCAGTGGCCAGTGGCGTAGCGTGGGTTGTCAGCACCCGGGGCAAGGCAAGTAATTTGCGCCCCCTAACCTGTGGATTTGCGCCCCCTAACCCTAACCCCCAGAAGTTGCTCCTGGTGCGGCCGGCCCCCCCTGCACCCCCCACACTAAGCCACTGCCAGTGGCATATGATTCTGGGGTTGCGGTGCTCATCTCGCTTTACTGGCCGAGGGAGCCGGCGTACAGCTTCCAGGTCATGTGACCAGCATGACTAAACCGCTTCTGGCGAACCAGAGCAGCGCACGGAAACCCGTTTACCTTCCCACCGGAGCGGTACCTATTTATCTATTTGCACTTTGATGTGCTTTTGAACTGCTAGGTTGGCAGGAGCAGGGACTGAGCATTGGGAGCTCACCCCATCCTGGAGATTCGCACCACTGACCTTCTGATCGGCAAGCCCTAGGCTGTGTGGTTTAACCCACAGCGCCACCCGCATCCCTTGTGGGATGCATACAAACCAGCAAACTCAGGTTGCACAATTATAGTTGAATGGGAGGTCCTGCATTACCAGCCAACTTTCCTGAAATTGCAGACTTTTTGCAGTAAATAAAATGAAGGGGGAATGGAAAACGAGCAAGGTCCCAACCAAAGAAGAATGGTAACTGATGGAATACGCACAGCTTGCAGATTTAGCATGTAGAATAGGAGAACGTGAAGAGTGTAAGTTTAAAGAAGTCTGGAAAATGTTTACTGAATATATGGGTGAAAATTGTGTTCATTTAAAAATGCTGGTAGCATTGAGATAAATTCAACAGTGTATATAAGTTTTGATGGATGTAACGATAGATTACTGAATGATTTGGTTCATGTAAAATATGCAGGGATGTATGATATGCAAAATGAACCATGGAAAGAGAAGAAGGGAAGTCATTGATTTAAGGTTGTTTAAATGGTTATTTTGAAATGTATATTAGAAAATTTAATGATTTTATATATATATATATATATATATATATATATATATATGGAACTGCACATGCACACATGCGCCTGCAGGCACATGGATCCCTACCTTTCCATCTAGGCATGCAAGAGGCAGGTTCCTATTCCTGCACCAGCAAAAGGTGAACCAAAGCACAGACCAGAGGTGGAGAAAGGTGTAGCCTGGGGAGTGGGTATGGGCTGGAGAGAGTCCTGAGGGCCAGTTAGAGAAGCCTTGAGGGCCACATTTGACCTCCAGTTGGCTTGAGGTTCCCCATGTTGTAGATTGTGCAGGGATTTCCATCAGTTTGTCCATTCCAATTCCGATTCTTGTCTACAGAGCTCAGCAAGCCCAGGTCCATCCCTGTAGAGGCGCCAGTAAGGAATGGCGCTGATGAATCCTACAAACAGAGAGACACAATTCAGGCTTTAATCATTCTGGACATATGACTTGGGAGTGCTTTGCAAGCGTCATGCCACATTATACGAAGCGCTTAAAATAGTCTTCTTAGCAATTTCATAGTGGTCTGTGAATTTTGCAATGATAAATCGATCTACAGAACTCCCCTTTCTCCTCTTGCCTTTAAAAAAATAAGATATAGGAAGCTGACTTATAACACATTCTGGCCAATAGGCTCATCTAGCCCAGGGCTGTTTATCCTGACTGGCTGCTGTTCTCCAGGATTTCTCTGGCAGAAGTGATTAAACCTTGGATTTTGTACATACTAAGTATGTACTTTTGGGGAAAGTTGCAGGAACTTTGAATTCTGATTTCTGCAGTGGTAGGGATTTTATGAAAAATTCTGAATGGGGAAATTTTCCAGTAGTTTTTGCTGATGTAAACAACCCTGTACAAATCTACATAAGGTAGTTTGCACCAAAAATGTTCCTGATGCCCCAGAGAGGGATCCAATTTAGCACGTTTGCTTTACTTGCATTTATATGCAGTAAACAAAGTCAAAAACTTTTGAAACTGCCAAGCTGGCTTAATATTATATTTGCACTTGGCACCCATTCATTTCTACTAACAAACTTATTAAATGGACAAAAAAGAATTCTGCAGAAAAGAATCTGCTCCGCATCGCTGTAAGACCGTCAAGGTTTGTGCTTCATCAGAACAAGTGTCTGATTGAGTGTTCTCATAATGCAAGTAAATAGTTATAAAAACAGGTTGGCTATGAAGATAGGCTTTGTTTTCATCCCTAATAAGCAAATAAATTGAAGTTAGATCTTCTGCTGTCTGCCCATAATGACATTACTAATAAGCGTTGTCCGAAGCACTGCTCTGCTTAATGATTTGCATTTGGCAGACGCAAATTGGAATGCGGTGAAGACTGTGACAGTTCAGAACAGGTTCCATTACAAAGCATTGGCTTGCGTTCACTTGACAAGCCATGGAGCTCTGACGAGATGGAGGAGGCATCTGCGCTGAACAGGCATTTTCCTTAGCTGATCAGCCAGATGGCATGTTTGCAACAGATCTGGATACAGCAGATGACTCTCTTAGCAATCTGAGGATCTTGGAGAAGCAGGGTGGTGTGTGTGTGTGTGTGTTTGCAAACAGTGAAGCTGATCCTCAGTGCAGCAGGTGGCAGGCCACCAGTGAAAAAGGACAAGGTGAAAATAGGGTTCATTGGGTCAGGGTCATTATACAGCAAGCATATCAGGTTTGCTGACACATGCGAGGCACAGACATGGGAAGGCAATATGGGATAGGACAAGGAGGAGAAGAAGAGAAGAAGAGTTTGGATTTGATATCCCGCTTTATCACTACCCGAAGGAGTCTCAAAGCGGCTAACTTTCTCCTTTCCCTTCCTCCCCCACAACAAACACTCTGTGAGGTGAGTGGGGCTGAGAGACTTCAGAGAAGTGTGACTAGCCCAAGGTCACCCAGCAGCTGCATGTGGAGGAGCGGGGAAGCGAACCCAGTTCACCAGATTACGAGTCTACCGCTCTTAACCACTACACCACACTGGCTCTCACCACCCTTGAGAGGAGGGTGCAGGGCCTGGGATGGAGGAGAGGAAACAGGAGTGAGGTAAAAAGGAGAGAAACACAAATAGTTTTGTGTGTTGCCACCATCCAGCTTCCTGTGGCGGCCCCTCCCTACAATTGCTGCCGCAGGGATTTCTGAGGGAGCATCTTGCCCTGAGGAGAGAAGCAGAAACAACTTCAGGAGTCAGGCTTCCTGCTGCCTTATATAAAGTTTAAAAAGAAAAGATGCTCATTGTAAGGAACTTACACAAAGTGTCTTGTGAGTTCTGCCTAAAAAGTGGTATATAAATATCTGGAATGAATGAAAAATGGTGCCTTGTAGGAAGGGTTATTGTGTGCCTTGTGGTGGTGCTGTTGGGGTCGTCAAGAGAAACTGAAGTTTATAATCTTGTCTCACTGCAATTTATGTTATGGTTAGGTATTAGGGATTTTTAAAAATACAAGTTCAGAATTTGAATCACTGCAGTTCAAAAATTCTGAGTTCAAATTGCACATATAAACCACACTATTTGAGTTTAGTCTTTGGATTGAATTAAATATTGGTGTGTTATAATTGTGCAGGTAGTAGGATGCGCACTGGGTTTTTTTATTTGCAATGATGAATTTTCTTCAGGTTTTTAATCGTATACAAAAATGACTTCACAGATATAAATTAGCTTGCTTTTCACTAATATTGCTTTTACTGATAGATGAAAGTTCTCAAGGTTACTACCAGGGCAAGCCTATATTTGCCTAAGCTGTTGCGAATTAGACTGAAGTGATGCAAAGCTTCTGAGGAATGGTTCAGCTAGATAAGGATTATAGAATCCGCTACTTCTGGTTAAACAGTTACATTCAAAGTTTTAAATTTTAGTTTCATTTCATTTTCTTTTCTTTCTTTCTTTCTTTCTTTCTTTCTTTCTTTCTTTCTTTCTTTCTTTCTCAAACTCTGGCCATTGCTGATTCACATAGATGTGAAGAAGTGGTTTTAGACCAGTGAGGGCTGTGGACTGAATCCAATGCAAGCCATAATTGGGGTAGACCCATTGGAATAACGGGCATGACTTAGGTGTACTATGAATAGAGTAGATACAACCCTGTATCATTTTCCCCACAGAGGTCCGCCTCAAGTAGCAATTTCAGTAGTCTATATTTCTCATTTTTCCAACCTTAAATTCAGTTCTCTACATTGCTGCATATAATAATAATAATAATAATAAAATGTGTGTACCTGCTATACCTGCAGGCCTCAGGTTGTTGTTATTTTTTAAAAAGATTCTCATGAAAATTCACCAGCATTTTAGTGCAAATTTCACTGAATAAATACATTTTTGCATGTGGTTTTGACTAATGTACACATTCTTTGCTGATAATTTCACCTAAAATAATGCACTTTTGGATGTTATTTTCATGAATATATTTATTTTTATGCCCATCATCTCTAATATATGCATTTTTAAAATTTTTTTGAAGGATGGCTGTGTTTTAGTTCTCATGTTATTTTGGAAAGTGCAGATTCAATAGATTCGCCCTTAGATGCAAATTGGATCCAATTTCACCCCCCAGCCCCCCTTATTTTCACTGGCTCACTCCTTGGTTCATGCTCACCTTGGACATAAGAAACTGTTTGGACAAAGCAAAGCAAAGCAAAGCAAAGCAAAGCAAAGCAAAGCAAAACAGCTTGAAAGGAATCCTATGAGAATTCCCCAAGTCATGTGACCTGCCTTCGCCTCTGCCATCCCTTGCCCTTCAGAGCCATGGAAAGCAAAGGACCTTGGGATGCGGAATCCAGTGGGATTATGGTTGTGCCAGCGGTAGAAGAAAAGCCAGAAGAGAGGAAGGATGAGCTTGAGGACAGAGGACAGTGGACCAACAAAGTGGAGTTTCTACTGTCTGTGGCTGGAGAGATCATTGGTCTGGGCAATGTATGGAGATTCCCTTATCTCTGCTACAAGAACGGAGGTGGTAAGTGCACAGCATCCATAATTTTTCTAGTGCCCTTTATTTCATTGTAGCCATTGGTCATCAGGAAACAATAAAAAAATAATCGTAGCAGCGCATTTTAAGCTTGCAATACAGCAAGCCATATGCAATATGCAGACTAAACATAAAATTCACTATAAAATTTATGACGTGCAATGAAGAAACTAATTAAAAATATATCAGATTAAAAAAATGTCATTAGATAATATGGTCCCCTTAGCAGCTGCTAATCATATTTTGTGCAGCAGATTTATTGCAAAGAGGACTATTTTATGAGCTAGATATTTGTCACATGGTAGATAACAGATTTCCACAGCCTTGCACAAGATAGTTTTTTTTCAGAAACTGTGCAATCATTTTTGTGTGTCAAAGAACTGTGAGCTCAGTTCACCCCCTCCCCAGTGGTGGCACCAGAATTTTTTTGGGGGAGGAGGACACACATAAGGGGCATAATATATCTCTAGGTGGATTAGTTGTGTCCCACATGATCACTGAAAAAAATAGTAGCATATGTTATTGACAGGAGTCCAGCAAAGGGGAGGGGCCAGTGGGAGAGGTGAGCACCTTGCTTGGGTGGGTGCTTGCCTCCCTTGCCCCCTGTTGAGAGAGGGGGGAAGTAGCTGGGGGTGTTTTAGAACAGAGAAGAGGTAGTCAGCATAAGGATTCCACTTCCTCACTGCTTCTCTGCTCTCGATTGTCACTGCTCTCCATTTTGTAAAAACAAAAAATGGTGATGGAACTCTAATACAGTCGTACCTTGGAAGTTGAACGGAATCCATTCCGGAAGTCCTTTTGACTTCCAAAATATTCAGAAACCAAAGTGCGGCTTCTGATTGGCTGCAGGAAGCCCTGTCGGATGTTCAGGTTCCCAAAAATGTTCCCAAACCGGAACACTCACTTCCGGATTTGCGGGGTTCGGGAGCCAAAACGTTTGAGAACTAAGCTGTTTGAAAACCAAGGTACGGCTCTTAATGTGCATTTGTGGAGGCAGCTATTTTGCAAGATCATTAATCCACCCCTGTGAAAATATCACTTTCCCCTCTTTTTAACAAAGGTGTTAATAATGAATTTGCTTCAGCATCTCTCTCTGCTCTCTTTCCCCACAGGTGCCTTCTTCATCCCATACCTCATATTCCTCTTTGCTTGTGGGATCCCAGTATTCTTGCTGGAGACAGCCCTTGGGCAGTATACCGGTCAGGGTGGGATCACTGCCTGGAGACGGATCTGCCCTATCTTTGAAGGCAAGTTGGTAGTACAAGGGAAGTCCTGGTAGCTTTCCGCCAAACACGCACTGTACTTTTTGATCTAATTCCCTCTGAGCTCCCCTGCTACAGGGCATGGCTCAGAGCCAGCTGCCGTTGTACCTGTTCAGAACTGCAGTCTAAGTCAAAAGGGCGAGTCATTCTGAAGTGTAGATATTGGAGGCAGAGCTGGTTCTCAATACAGAGTCAAAAGGTGGTGGCAAAGGAGCAGCCAGAAGCAGAACAAGTTTAAAACTGCGGAGCCCCTGCCAAGGCAGGTGTGAAAGGGCAGATATTCAGAGGAGGAAGAAGCAGTGACGGCAACAAGGAACCACAAGTCTGCAAGTCTTTCTGCGTTTAAGATAAAAACGTGAGCTCCCTGTTTGCAGCAGCAGTGAGGAGTTGAAGGGAGAGGTGATTTCATGCAAGGCGTTTATGCTAGGAGTGGCAGGTTATGCTGCAGAGATACAAACTGATCCTGTACAACAGGGAACCTCATGCAAAGGGCCAAAAGTGGCCCTCCAGGTCTCTCTGCCCGGCCCTAGGAACTCTCCACAGGCCACACCCCTCATGGCCATTGCTTCACCCCCAAGTGGTTTTGCCTGCCTGGAATGTGTCCCTGAATTCTAGTAATGTTTCTTGCTTGCCTGGATGGAGGATAGAGGGGTGTGTGTGTGTGTGTGTGTGTGTGTGTGTGAACTGTCTCTGAAAATTTGCACATCACTTGGGAAGACAGGCGAACTAATACCGGCGTACTGGAAGAAGCAACGATCACCAGTGTTGAAGCAATGGTTCTTCAACATCAACTTCGTTGGACTGGTCATGTTGTGCGGTTGCCTGATTATCGTCTTCTAAAGCAACTACTCTATTCCAGATTTAAAAATGGAAAGCGTAATGCTGGTGGGTCAACAAAAGAGGTTTAAAGACTGTCTCAAGGCAAATTTTTTAAAATGTAGTATAAACACCGACAATTGGGAAACACTGGTCTGCGAGCGCTCCAGTTGGAGAACAGCCTTTACCAAAAGTGTAATGGGCTTTGAAGACACTCGAACTCAGGACGCAAGGGAGAAACGTGCTAAGAGGAAGGCACACTTGGCTAATCCACACCGTGATCAACTCCCACTAGGGAACTAATGTCCCCACTGTGGAAGGATGTGTGGATCCAGAATTGGCCTCCACAGTCACTTACGAACTCACTGTTAAAACCATGTTTATGAAAGACAATCTTACTCGGCTACGTGTGATCGCCAAAGAAGTAGACTCTACAAATATGAAATTTGCATCCATTGACGTGCCCACTGTGAAGCAATGGTTATGCCCTCCACAGGCATGTGGATCTCACCTGCCTTCAGACCAGAGTTGGGGAACTAGTGACCTTCTGGACGTTGCTGGACTCCAGTTCCCATCAGCCCCTGTGAGCACGGCCTGGGATGATGGCAGTGACATCTGGAGATCCACAGCTTCCCCACCTCTGCTTCTGGCCAGTCTCTGAACTATGTTTGGTCCTATCAGTAACTGAAAACCTAGGTCTTTTTCAATCACAGCTTGACAGGAAATTTTGGCCCCTTTTTGTCTGTTTTTAACCATCACCTTTATCTCTCTCTCTCTCCCACTCAGGAATTGGCTATGCTTCCCAAGTCATCGAATCGTTCCTGAATGTCTACTACATCATCATATTGGCTTGGGCCCTGTTCTACCTATTTAACTCCTTCGCTGCTGTTCTACCCTGGGCCAGCTGCAGTAATACCTGGAACACAGGTATGACTCTGGCAAGATGCCACCTCCTGCATGGCTTTCTGAAGAAATGGAATTGTAGTTCTTACTTTGCTACATAGGTTCAGGTGCAAGATACGTTGGCACACGAAATTAAAAATGCAAATCCTTTTTCTCACCCCGTTGCTGGTGAAAATATAATAAGCAATTGACAATTTAAAGTAGCAAAAAATATTGGCATTTGAATATTGTCATTTCTGATGTGACATTTGTGTCCATTTATTCTTTTGCATAGACTGACTGGTTAGTCCTATGTAGGACATTATTGGCAGATGATAACATAAACTGGGTTGTATCCAATGTTACTCAGAATAGACTTATGGAAATTAATGTACATGGCTAACTTAGGCCCATTAATTTCAATGGGTCTGTTCTGAGTTAGGACCTAGATGGGCAGGTGAATGAACCTCAGATGTTGTGGTTGATACTATTGGAAGAATTCAAAGGCTATCCCAAATCTGTTGGCTGAGGTTTCTCCATCATTCTCTGCCTAAGGTTAGGGATGGCTCTGGACCAAGGCAACCTAGCGCTTGTGAGACGTCTTTGTCTTGTTTTTGAGAAGTTTTGATACTGCCTATTTTCTCTCTGAGCCCAATCAAGATGATAGAGATGTGGGGTGTACCTTTATTTTTATTTTTTTTAAAAAGACCTCATGATGTCTTGGAAAGAAAAACCCTTGTGTGAAGAGGTTGCTTACAAGGTTGTGGCTGTTTTAATCTCATGAGTGCAACTCCCAGAGAGTGGTTTTTGTTTTTGTTTTGCTTTTGGGGGTGTGGGGGAAAAAAGAGAGAGGAAATACTCACTGCACATTCTTCTCTTTGCTTTCCTCCTTAGATATGTTGTAGTCAATTTTGTTCTGAGTAAAAAAAAAAAAGTCTAGTTCTTTTCCCTTAAAGCCTTTGTGTGCCTGGCTGGTTCCTGGCTTTGTGGACAGCCTTTCTGTGAGCTGAACATGACCTTCTGAACTCATGACTGAAAGGATAAGAATGTTGTACCACTGACCTCCTCACATGGCAATAAACACTGCAAACCCCCCTGCCTGCCTCTCTCTTTCAAGTCGCTGAAGAGACCAGAGTCTCATGCAGTGGGGCTGTGAACTGTACCTTTGTACACTCAGCCTTTGCTTTATTTCATTTTATTCAGAATCCACAGGGCCCTGGAGAAGCAAGGCCAGAGGTTCCACCTGGCCTCTGAATGCCTCTTGCCTTCTGTTACAGTCTTTTGCCTCTTTCTCTGCAGGCGGGAACAAGTGTATCCATGTTACAAATCGCCATTTTCCTTTTACTCATACCAGGCATTTAATTTTTAATGACATCTTAAGGCTCTGATCCCTGTTCCCAGTCTGGAGGTGGCCTTCCCTTCACAAATTTCCAAGTAGGGCACCCACACCACAAGTTAACAGCATTTCCAGCGCACATCTGAATAGCATGTTGTTGTTGTTTAGTCATTTAGTCATGTCCGATTCTTCGTGACCCCATGGACCAGAGCACGCCAGGCACTCCTGTCTTCCACTGTCTCCCGCAGTTTGGTCAAACTCATGCTGGTAGCTTCGAGAACACTATCCAACCATCTCGTCCTCTGTCATCCCCTTCTCCTTGTGCCCTCAATCTTTCCCAACAGCAGGGTCTTTTCCAGGGAGTCTTATTTTCTCGTGAGGTGGCCAAAGTATTGGAGCCTCAGCTTCACAATCTGTCCTTCCAGTGAGCACTCAGGGATGATTTCCAAATAATAATGGGAACTGTGGTTTGTTAATGGTGCTGGGGAATGGCATCTCTGTGAAGGGGAAACTATAGTTCCCAGAATTCTTTGAGGGAGGGTAGTCATGTGCTTTAAACTTGCTTTAAATGTGTGATGTGGATCTGCCCATAGTTTGTTAATTTTAGACTCTTCATGGTCCTCCCTTGGGGGGGGGGGGAGCAGGTGAAGATTATCTCTTTATAAATGCCCATGGGTAAAACGTCACTTACTTTAAAATGGAGTAAGCCAGCCCTGCTGCATTTGGGGTCCTTCATGCTCACGGTGCTGTGGTCTAAACCACTGAGCCTCTTGGGCTTGCCGATCAGAAGGTCAGTGGTTTGAATCCCCATGACGGAGTGAGCTCCCGTTGCTCTGTCCCTGCTCCTGCCAACCTAGCAGTTTGAAAGCACGCCAGTGCAAGTAGATAAATAGGTACCACTGCAGCGGGAAGGTAAACAGCGTTTCCGTGTGCTCTGGTTTCCGTCACGGTGTTCCGTTGCACCAGAAGTGGTTTAGTCAAGCTGGCCACATGACCCGGAAAGCTGTCTGTGGACAAACACCGGCTCCCTTGGCCTGAAAGTGAGATGAGTGCGCAACCCCATAGTCGCCTTTGACAGGACTTAACCATCCAGGGGTGCTTTACCTTTTACTGTTGGAGGCAGTATGCCTCTGAATATCTGAATGGTTGCTGGGATTGGAGGTGGGCAGAGTGTGATGTGAAACTCAGGACCTTCTTTGCAGATTTTCTGTGGGCTTCTGGTTTGCCACTGAGAGAAGAGGGTGATGGACTAGGCTGGACTTTGGCTTGGCTCAGCAGGGCTATTATTATTATTATTATTATTATTATTATTATTATTATTCCACCCATTTGACAGGGTTGCCCCAGCCACTCTGGGCAGCTCCCAACAAAATATTAAAAACACGACAAAACATCAAACATTAAAAACTTTCCTGTACACTTTAGTTCTTATCCCACCCTAGAGGCATTACCAAAAGAGAGGACCCATATTTGATTTTTAGATTTATATAAATCTGAAGATTTATATACATAGAGGCAATTTTGAAATTATCACTTAAAAATGAATGCAACACACCCAATGCTTTTGGGGGTATTTTTTTTTTAAAAAAGAGAGGTGCTGTATTGGTGTGTGTGCCAGAACACAATGGCTGTCAAGGGCAACAAAGAAAGAGGTGATGGTCCTCTGTGCTGATTTGTACCACCACCCAAAAAAAACAAAAAACAAAAAAACAAAAAAACCAACCACTGCATGAATTTCCCACAATATTGGGAAAGAAAGTGACCAAGTGTCTTGGGCGACTGCTCAGTCTGCTGTCCAGGCACTAAGTGTTGATGGGCAATGTCAAAGTCCTGACTGCTCTCTCTTCTTGTGGTTCTTCTGCACCTTTAGCATGGACATCTCTTCAGATAGAGAGAGGGCTCCTTCAAACAGAGATCTGCCCTTTCTAAAAGTAAGACACAGAGCCACCCTATGAGAGAGAGAGTGAGAGTGTGTGTGTGTGAGTGTAGGGGGCGGTATTGACACCTGCCCCATGGTCTTGCCTTGATGGCACCACTGCAAGAAAGGTTCAGTCCTGCTTCTCCAAATGATCGAGAAGCGAGGACGTTTTCTTGTGAATGTCTTTCCTTCCAAAAATATGATGATGATGATTGCTTTATGTTCAACATTTGCTAATTCCTGCTCCTTTTCTTGCATTTCCTCTTGGGGCTTTCATTACTCATTTAAAATACGTTGTTAGCTTCTATCACCACCACTGCTAGATGCTCTGCGACTTACTTCCCTCTCCAGGAATTTCACCAATAAACTTCTCTCTCTCTCGCAGCTCCTCCCCACCATGTGTAAGTGAGGGTGGACTTGAATGAATCCAAAGCGATGACAGAAGGCGAGTGTGGGGGGGAAAGGAGGAGGGGAAACAGGAGTTTGTATCTGTGTTGCTCAGTAATAACTTGCATACCACAAACATCTGGATTCTGTATAAATAAGGAGCTGCCATTTCCTTCTGAAACTCTGGGCAGGGGAGGGTTCCGGTCAAAGTCAGGCCAGAATGTTGTTGGAGCACTGCAGACTCTCACCCAATTGCTTTCCCCTTTTCCACAGCTCTTTGTGTGGACTTTCTGAACAGCTCAAGTTTGGAGGACAATATCATGCCAGCTAACGCCACCTCTCCAGCCATTGAGTTCTGGGAGTATGTATTCAGATTTTTCTGATTCCTTTCCCCCCACAGTATAATTTAAAGGCAGGAGACTTTTGAATGTGGCCTCTGAATGTTCCAGCAAAAGGAAGTTACAAGGAGTATGCACAGAACCTCATGAGTTTATTGACAGGGGCACGAAAAAAAGCCAGGGATTGGACAAGGATGTGAACATTTGTATGCCTCAAGTTCTGTGCAAGATAAAAAGGCTAAATGTCCACTGTCCAAAGGAGGGGAAACCATGCAATGTGATGAGCGGGGAGGGGAAGTCTGTGGAAAGAGGGCGATGGCCATTGCTCAAGATAATAAGATAAATTGAAACCAAGTACAAAGATCAAATGGAGGAAGATGAAGGAAAGTCGTTTAGCATTGGCACTGTAAGTGATGGGTTCTAAAGGAAACCGACTATATGGGGGTATAAGCAAAAATAATCAGGAAGGGGCTGAAGTTGGCTAATAGTGAAATGTCAGGCTTGGGACATCACCCTGTATCTCGTCTTTTAATCTGCACTGGCAGGAGGAGAGTCTTGGGAATAACGGATGGGATACATAATCTGGGCACCGTGAGGTGGGAACTGGCTCTCTGTCTCCTGCTGGCCTGGATCATCTGCTACTTCTGCATCTGGAAAGGAGTCAAGTCCACTGGCAAAGTAGGAGCAGCTGTGTGCTTTTCACTTCCTAAAATGTATTGATCTGACCTGTCAGGTTCCCTGTGTCAAAGGAGGAGCAGAAAGGAAGAGGGAGGAGACCCAAGGGTCAATTTCTTTCTTTCTTTCTTTCTTTCTTTCTTTCTTTCTTTCTTTCTTTCTTTCTTCCTTCCTTCCTTCCTTCCTTCCTTCCTTCCTTCCTTCCTTCCTTCCTTCCTTCTTCTCCCTCTCTCTCTCCGATAATATTTTTTTATTAGTTTTCAATTGCAATAATCCAATAATAGCCTCATTATACATAGCTGTCAACTTTCCTCTTTTCTTGCGAGGAATCCTATTTGGAATAAGGGAATTTCCCTTAAAAAACGGGAAACGTTGCCAGCTATGTCATTATAACAATGCCAAATTATAATACAATTACTAATACCAAAGGTTCAGATGCCAAATTATGTAATTTAGGTGCCCCCCATGCTAGAATTGATGGTTTGATGATTTACTTTATTTTAGCGTTCCAAAATCTTATTAATTTCAATTGCACTCCAGTCAAAATAGCAATCCCTTATACAACAACTGCAATATTAACAACTTCTATTCGTATAGACACATTAAATGATTTATAAATCAACAGGTGAAGCATTCAAACTATATCCTTGTTCTTCCTGTGTGTGGCAATTATTCTGTCCATGATGTTTCTTTCTGTCCTGGTTGCTGTTGTTCTCCTTCATGCCTTGGGTGGAGCTAATATCCCGTTGTTGTTTCAGACATTCTCCATTGCTCTGTCCCGTGCTTGATTGTTCTGCAACTTCAACAGCAGCTGCAAAAATCACAGTGTCCCAATAAATAACCTGTTTTTGGCATTTCCCCCCTCTCAGCCTGGGAAGGAGAGTGATCTGCAAATAACTCAGTAATGACCTGATCAACTCCTTGGCAAGCTCGCAGATTCCTTTCATCTCTCCGTTCAGCCGAAGATAAACCCGAGGGTCAATTTCAGGTAGCATCACCTACCGTGTGTGGTGATGTTATGGCAAGGTGCATTCCAGCATCCTTGGCTCACAGCATGCTCATGTTGGAGGCAGGGAAATGTGCAGTGCTCTGTCACCCAAGGATGCTGGGTAATTTCACACATAATATTAGTTCACATGTTATGCTAAGCCATGGTTTAGTGTAAATGTGTGGGCTCTGGAAGAGGAGATGGCAGGTGCTTTGCTTCTGCCTGGTGGTTCTACTACAGAGCTGAGCTAAGCCATGGGTTGGTTTAGAGAGTTGTCTGAAACCAGGCTTGTGATTTAGCTCTCTCTAGACTAACCAAGGTTTGTCTGATGGATTATGTCTTGTAATCTGAAACCATGAGCCGTAGTTTAGTGCAGTGCAGTGCAGTGAAGCAAAGCAGCTGAATGACTGAGGAAAAGCAAAGCAGCCACCTTCTCCTGATCCAGAAGCCTATGCACATTCACACTAAACCATGGCTTGGCTTAGAGTGATATGTGAACATAGTTATTTTGCTTGAGTTGATTGGCAGTTCTGACTGCCAATGAGACGTCCCTAAATTGTTGATTTAAAGCAGAGTCCAGCGGAAGGATGAGGAATACGTGCTGCATACTCTATATTGCTTTATTTACAGTTCAAAGCTGGTATATTACAGAAAGACATCTTGCCTCTGCCGGAGCAGAAAAATGCATCCTCTCTCCTCAACAGCTCGGAGAGAATCACACAGTGAAAAACAGGAAACCAGTGTACGTCACATCCAGTCTCCCTTTCCCGTGAGAAACTCCAACAGTACAGACTGTGGAATGTAAACACCTGTCTCGTGACAAGCAGAGCTGCACAGTGAAGGAAAGCAGAAACCAACATCCTCCCCTTTCTGTGAACATCACTGGGCAGCGTGTTTGCACAATATCAGTACAAACCCAACTTCTGCACATAGGTACAGTGTTGATCCTCGATACAATCTTGGACAATACATCAGCAGGAATTTCATTACCTGGCATATAGGACACCGTTACGAGTCCCTTCTGAATACATTCCCTAGCATGCTGCAACTTTAATTGCAAGTGCTTTGTGCTTTGCTTACAACCTTCAGACTTCAGCAAAGCCAAACATGCTTTGTTGTCCTGGTAAACCTGGATTGGACATTTGACAGGAATTTTCATATCTTTGCACAATTGTACTAACCATTCACAATCCTTAAGTGAATAAGACAGTGCATTCAGTTCGGCTTCACAAGTACTTAAGCTAACTGTTGTTTGCTTCTTGCATGACCAATCAAACAGACTCTGATTGTACATGTAGCAAACTCCAGACGTACTTTTCCTGTCTGTAGCGTCACTTCCAAAACTTGCATCTGCAAATATCTCAAGACCACCAGACTTCTGATTGTTAAATCTCAGTCTGTAATGCATAGTGCCTTTCAAATACCGCGCTATGCGTTTCAGAGCTTTCCAATCCTTGACACTAGGATTGTTGACTTGTCTGCTTAGCAAATTACAGCTAACAGCAATGTCTGGTCTTGAACATCTGGCAATGAAGTTTAGCTTGCCTAGCACACTCCTGTACAGTGTAGTGTCAGAAAATGCTTCTTCAGTGTCATCTACCTGATAACCTGTTGTCATCGGTGTGTTTACAGGGTTAGCATCCATCAGATTTAGTTTGCTTAACACATCAGCAATTTTCCGTGACTGGTGTACTAGAATGTTACCATCTTGATCTTTCTCTATTTCCAGAGATAGGTAGTTGTTTACCTCACCAAGATCTTTCATGTCAAAGTGCTCTTTCAGTTGAGCTAGGGCGCTATTGTACATTGCAACATCTTTCCAAAAGAATAATAAATCATCAACATAAAACAAACAGTACAGTTTCTTTTGCCCCTCCTCTTTGACAAATACACATGGATCAGCTTTCCCTTGCTGAAAACCTAGAGAAAACAATACTTCAGTGAGTTTTGTGTGCCAACACCGTGCACTTTGTTTGAGACCATAAAGGGATTTCTTCAGAGCACAAACAAATCCCTGTTTTACCTGTACGCCATCAGGTGGAAGCATATAAAGTGATTCATCTAGAGATCCGTACAGAAAAGCTGTATTAATATCATGGTGACTAATGTGTAGATTTTCCTCTGCAGCTAGCTTGAGCATAAGCCTAATGCTTTCATATCTCACTGTGGGTGAATAGGTCTCGTGATAGTCTTCACCTGGTACCTGTGCAAAATCTCTGGCTACCAATCTGGCTTTGTGTCTGACTATCTTGCCATTTTGATCTGTCTTCGCTTTGAAGACCCATTTGCTTCCAAGCAGTTTCATTCCTGGAACTACTGGAACTAGCTCCCATGTTTTGTTCCTTTTTAAGGAATCAAGCTCAGCCTTCATGGCATTAAGCCAAGGCTCAGCTTCCTTTGTATCCAAACTCTGGATTTCTTGGAAACTTGAAGGTTCAAATACCTTCTTGGAGCTTTTAACAGCTGTTACTGCTATCGTAGCAAACTCATCAGCAAATCTCTTTGGAGGTTTGCCTTTTGTGGCTCTCTGTGACCTACGAATCAGCCTTAAGTCTTCAACACTCTCCTCTTCCTTCTTAGGAGAAAAACGACCTATTGTAAACAATGGTTCCTCCAATTCTTGATCAGAGCTTTCAGAGGGTCGCATAGAGGCTTTCGCACTCTTGAAATCCTCTGAATCACCCGATTCAGTTTCAGATTCAGACTCAGAACCTTCATCAGTGGGTGTGGGTTGTTGTGGTTGCTTTTGACTATCCTCAGTCTCATCACCGTCATCAGGATAACATTGGAAAATTCCCACATTCTCCCCCACTTTGCATTGTACTCGACACTTCTCGTGAGCTTAATTGTCTTAGAGTCAGTCATCATTATTCTGTAAGACCCTTTCTGATAACCTAGAAAGATACCATGCAATCCACGCTTGTCTAACTTGGAGTTTTGTGGTGAGCAAACCCACATGTCAGAACCAAAAATCTTCATGTGTTTGATGTATGGCTTCTTGCCAAACATCTTCTCATAGAGAGTACAACCAATCGCTGAAGATAACCTGCGATTGTAACTGTAAACAAAACACGAGAGAGATTCGGCCCAATAACTCTCTGGAAGATTGGCATCATGCAGCAAGGTTTTTAATCCTTGAAGCAATGTCTGATTTGCCCGTTCCGCAAGTCCATTCTGCCATGGCGAGCGAGGACTAGACAAATCGTGTTGAATTCCTTTCTCAGTCAGAAAAGCTTCAAACTGCTGAGAAGTGAATTCCCCCCCGCGATCACTGAAAAGAGTCTTTATCTTCTTACCATGCACATTTTCCAACCAAGCACAGAATTCCTTGAACCTAGGAAAAGCCTCCGATTTCTGCTTGAGATTGTACACAAAAATATATCTAGAAAATGCATCAATGAGAACCATGAAGTATCTATTTCCACCCAAAGAGGGCGCTAGTGGTCCAACCAAATCAGCATGAACAACCTGGTATGGTTCTGTAGCTTTCCTACTAGACACCTTACCTTTCGCAGCCATTTTCACCTTGTTTGCTGCGCATGCTTTGCACTTCATGTGGTACCTGCAGGGTTTAATAGTCATACCTTCAACCAAGGCAGGCATTTTAGATACTGCCTCAAAATGCAAATGACCAAATTTTCGATGAAAATCGTGAATACATTCTGCATGCAAACTTTTGTTAGAACCTGCAATGCAACAAGTGTCATCCTGCACCACATCATCATAATACAAAACAAACAAATGATCAACATATTCTGCATGCAATACATAATCATTTTTCTTTGTGATGATGCACTTCTTGTTCTTGAAGGAAACGTCAATGTTCCGCTCATTCAGCTGTCCAACGCTGAGCAGATTATGTTTGGCGTCTGGCACGTAAAGCACATTCTGTATCGATAAGTCCAAACTGTGAAGAACAACAGTTCCGTAGCCTTTACTGGGAATAGTGTGGTCATCCGCCTGGTGAATCGCACCTTCCTGCGGTGTAAAAGACACAAACAGTCTCTTATCGTTGCACATGTGGTGGGTGGCCGCTGAATCAACAACGAAGAAAGATCTAGACGTCTTCTGGACCTCTGCAACCTTTGGAGTGAAGCGTGAAACCATAGCCTTGTGCTGCGTTGTCCTAGACACCGGACCTTTGCCTTTGCCTCGGCCTTTTCCGCGCGATGAGCTTTCGCTGCGCTGCTCTGTCTTGGCCCTGGGATGTCTGCATTCCCTCTTCATATGGCCTAGACGTCCACACGAGTAGCATTTCACTGCCTTCAAAGCTTTGGCGCCATCTGGTGGTTCCACTGCACTATGGGATGACGTCTGTGAAGACTCCCCTTGCCCATGCAGCTAGCACCCCGGCGATCTGCTTCATTTAAAATCACGGCAGTAACAAAGTCCACTGTCAGCTGAGCAGTTGGTTGCACAGCAATCTGGGTTGCAACAGACTCCCAACCTGAACCCAAAGATTGTAGTATCATGAAAGAATACACAGCCTCTGGAAAGTTGAGTCCTCTCTGTTGCAGCTCATGTCTCAGATTTTGCATCTTCATCAGATGTAAACGCACATCTCCACCTTCAGCAAGAGCCATATTGTGCAGCTTGTTAAAATAAAACATAGTGGATCCAGCTTCTGTCCTTAAGTGAGCCTCTTTCAGAGCGTCCCAAATTTCTCTGGCTGAGGTCTTATCACGCAATAGACAGAGCTCTTCTGGGGATACTATCAATGTAAGAGTTCCCCTTGCTTTGGAATCCTTAGCTTCCCATGCATCTGTAACTGGAACTGGGGGGGTTCCTGTAATCACCTCAAACAAACCCTCTTTCCGCAGAATTGCCTCTGCATACTGAACCCAGTCGGCATAATTTTTCTTGTTGAGCTTAGGAATCCCACAAGCATCCTGAAGGGCCATCATGACTCTGGCATTAGCCTTCAGCGTCATATGCTGCTTTAAATCTTGCTGCGTCACTGCTGCAGCTGCTTTATTACAAAGCACACTTAAAGTTACTTTCGATTTCCCCAGCATAGTGACTGTGCCTGGGAGCCTTTTGCCTGTTCCCGGCAAAACCGGCTTTAAAGTTCAAAGTCCAGCCATAAAGCCATTAACTTGAAGCTGGCAGGCTGCCCGGAGCAGTAGCACATACCTCATCAATCACTTCTACGCGCAGAGCAGATTCCGTTCCGATCTGTTCCCCTGCATTCCGATCCTCTGCCGGCACTCCGATTCGACGTCTGGAGCCCATAACCACGTGTTGATTTAAAGCAGAGTCCAGCGGAAGGATGAGGAATACATGCTGCATACTCTATATTGCTTTATTTACAGTTCAAAGCTGGTATATTACAGAAAGACATCTTGCCTCTGCCGGAGCAGAAAAATGCATCCTCTCTCCTCAACAGCTCGGAGAGAATCACACAGTGAAAAACAGGAAACCAGTGTACGTCACATCCAGTCTCCCTTTCCCGTGAGAAACTCCAACAGTACAGACTGTGGAATGTAAACACCTGTCTCGTGACAAGCAGAGCTGCACAGTGAAGGAAAGCAGAAACCAACATAAATGTCACCTGCTTTTAACAGCAGCAACAATAGTTCTTTTTTGTTAAAAAAAAAGTTTTTGCTCAGCCCAAGATAAAATAATCTGTTTTAGCACCTTTAAAACGCCCAGTGAATTTAGTTGTTTCATTGTTATAATATTCCCATAATATTGCTGTAACTGTCATACCTTTCTTCAGGGTTATGTATGTTTAAGTACCTAGTACTAACCTTATTATTTCTATATTCCCCCTGCATGGGTTGATTGTGTCTTGGATCTTAGTATGTTGTAAATAAGCTCCACTTTCTCAGATTACCTTCCTTCTCTAACCCTGATCACAGTCCTAAGTCCAGGAGGACTTTGTCTCTACATCTCCATTCTGCTTACCTGCAGGTGGTCTACTTCACTGCCACATTTCCTTACCTGATGTTGATTGTTCTGCTGGTTCGAGGAGTCACTCTTCCTGGTGCAACCGAAGGGATTCTGTTCTATTTGAAGCCAGACATTTCAAGACTAGCAGATCCCCAGGTGAGTTTATGGCTGATTCTGATCTGATGGGCTTGAATTTGGTGGCTAGAAATCACAAGATCTGATTTTTCTTCTCCATACCTACCTGAAGAACCAAAGATCTAAGAACATGATTAAACCAGTAGAATAAAATGTCCACGCAAACATAAAATATTACATATTAAAGAGGATGGGGAAAATCTGTCAGTTTCTCTCAGTTTCTCATTTTTTCCCATCTTAAGTTCATATTTCTGCATCAGTTTGGATATATTTTTATTTTTAAAAAAGAATCCTCATGGACAAAAATATCTAGGTCAAACAGGGCAACCTTGCTCCCTCTAAAGCAGTTTTTAGCATTCCACCTTAAAGGCAACAGCCCTTTCTAAAGGGCAGCAGAAGTTTACTCTAGCACGAGGACTGCTGTTTGCCAGAATATTTTAAAATATGGATATGTTAGGCCATTGGCACTTAAGGCACAGCAAATGCGGCTGCTTCTATTAAATATTCAATACCTGACAGATGGCTTCACCGAGCCCTAAGTGAAAATGATTAAGAAAGAGAAAGATAATGTCTCTTCTAATTTACTGGGATCTGGCTTGAGTTTCTCATGGATAACGTCAGAATTTCCCCAGAGAGGCCAGAGCTTCTAGCCAAAGAAAACCCCCTGAAAAAATCACATAGTTATCATCTCAACTGCAAGCAGTCAGGAATATTGGAAATATGGGAACTATTTCTGCATAGTTTGTGGTTCAACAGTTATGAACAGGGTAGCTGGGTGCTTTAAATTATTTTTTTACAGAGGACAGTCCTCTATTTGAAAGGCTGTTGGGTCCAAGACTGGTTTAAAGATAAAAAAATAAGAAGGAGGAGGCAGGGACCTTGAAGTTGGCCATCAGCAGTTAACATTCACACTGAGCAGGCATAGAGGCCGCCATCTTCTCACTGTAGTGAGATGTGTTGCATTGCTATTGAAATTATAGTAACTGAGTTGTGATCAACTAAGTCCTACTTGGAGAAGACCCACTGAAATAAATGCACCTAAGTGAGTCAGGGCAATTGATTTCAATGGTTCTACTCTGAGTAGGACCAGCATCACATTCTTATGCAAATATTATAAAATTCTTCTGCACTACTATTTTTTGGGAGGGATGGATTTCCTCTATTTTGGTGGTGCACAGATGCAATGCTTCTTTGTGATTATACCTGCTGGTACAGAGTACCATCCACTTTTGTAGCCTTTTACTGTGCAGGTACCCACAGCACTTTGATCAAGATATGGGCACTGGCATCTCATTATTTTTTACCAAAAAATAAATAGATCACTGTACAGTACAAGTGGCTACTCTAAATATGAAACTTGTGATGGGCTATCCATTCCTGCTACAGGTTTACGTCCCATTGCCATTTTTTTTAAAAAAGAGGGTGTTTTGTGTCCTTTGTTTCTAAAGACATTTCTACCATGCTTTTTGGACACACGGGCTACCCATACATTGCTTACATTTTGGGGGGTGGTGGTGGGAGAATTGTCATTAGCTCTCCTGTTGGCCCCGCGATCACATCACTGCTTGTTCTCATGCAGATAATCAGCCACATTGCCAACGTTGGGCAGGCAGCTCCACCAGACCCCACATGCCACTGCGGATAACTTATATCCTTAGCAATAGAAAATAAACAATAATAAAACTAAGGCAAGCTGAAAATGCAACCCAGAAAGCAGATTAAACAAATAGTTTCAGCAGCCAAGAAATGAATGGAGAGCACAAGCAACCAAATAATGCTTGAAGCCAAGCAGTCAACAAATCAGTAAATGGGCACAACTAAAACATAAATATATCAGACATGCTTCATAAATATGGTAGTATTAGCAATTGTAGCAATTATTAGACAGCAATGCAAAATATTTCGTAGAAACAGACTGCAGCTGGCATCATTTAGGGCCCTGCCCTCCTAGGCCACGTGGAAATGAATGAGACAGAAAATGGGAGACCAACCCTTTCAAGACTCAAGGGTTTGTATTTTAGTACCAACCTATATAACTCACAGGACGCGGGTGGCACTGTGGGTTAAACCACAGAGCCTAGGACTTGCCGATCAGAAGGTCGGCAGTTCGAATCCCAGCGACGGGGTGAGCTCCCATTGTTTGGTTCCTGCTCCTGCCAACCTAGCAGTTTGAAAGCACGTCAAAGTGCAAGTAGATAAATAGGTACCGCTCCAGCGGGAAGGTAAACGGCATTTCCATGCGCTGCTCTGGTTCTCCAGAAGTGGCTTAGTCATGCTGGCCACATGACCCAGAAGCTGTACGCCAGCTCCCTTGGCCAATAAAGCGAGATGAGCACTGCAACCCCAGAGTCGGTCACGACTGGACCTAATGGTCAGGGGTCCCTTTATCTTTACCTTTATATAACTCACATTTCTCGAACGGCTTAGTTGTTGAACAAATCGGCTCCCGAATGCTGCAAATCCAGAAGTAAGTGTCCCAGTTTGCGAACGATTTTCAGAAGCTGGACGTCTGACGCAGCTTCTGCTTGAGTGCAGGAAGCTCCTGCAGCCAATTGGATACTGTGCCTTGGTTTTTGAACGGTTTTGGGAGTCGAACGGACTCCCAGAACGGATTAACTCCGAGAACCAAGATACCACTGTATATGAAAAACAGTTATCCTCTGAATTTTTCACTTCCCTGAAGTTTGCAGTACTGTTCTCAACCTCAAAGTGTGCCCTAAAGTACATAATGAAAATAAAGCACACATACACACTACATTGCATTAGAGGAGGAAGTTTCCAGAAATGCATATACTGTGCAAATTGTATACAAAAAAAAATAAATCACATATTAGGAGGAGAATTCTGCACACAAATGTGCATGAATTTTCTTGTGAATGTTTCATAGGAAAATGTGCAAATGCAGAAATGGAGTAAACCAAGCATAAAGTAGGGAAGAGAACAAAGTGAGAGAAACTGAAGTTGAGAGATTCCTTTGTCCCTATGCTCAGCTAAATGTATAGCATGATGGAAACGACAGGTGCAGCATCTTCATCTTTAGTCATCTCATTTATACACCGCTTTATATGGTTGCTGTTTTTTTAAAAAAAACCTTAAACCATCAAATAAAACATCCCAGAATAAAACATCACCAAAGAGAGTCGGATATAAAGTGTATATTCAAAGCAGCATAATAAACTGGAAACTAAAATATTATCTTAATTTCAAAATAAAACATTACAAAGGTCAAGAATGCACATTTAATACAAGAAAGCTAATAGGGCTTCTCCTACTCTGTTGCCAAAGCAGCAACTGTCACATGGGCATAAAAGACGTCACCTAAACATGGCAGTTGACTCAGATGCAGGATTTGTGCCTTGCACCTCAAACGATGCCCTGTCTGCCAGACTGTGATTGTTTGCCTTCTGAATCTAGACATGATTCCCCTTTGCTTTGCTCTAGGTATGGATGGACGCAGGCACTCAGATCTTCTTCTCTTATGCCATCTGCCAGGGGTGCCTCATAGCTTTGGGCAGCTACAACAAGTACAACAACAATTGCTACAGGTAAGGAGATGTTCCCCAAAAAATCTCAGCTACTTTGACAAAAAGTAAACAAACAAAAAACTCAAAAACTTTGTTCAGATTTTCACTTTGGGGAATATTGCAACTCTACTCAGCCATGCTTCACTGTGATCAGACTCCCTTGGGATTCTGCAGCAAGCAGTTCCAAATTCCATGACTGGAGTAGAATTTTTCGCCCCACCAAGGTTTTGGACATGGGTTTTCCTCTACTCATGATGCTTCCTTTTGAGTTGTCCAAATTATTTCAGCGCACCCCACCCCCAATATGCTCATCATGATTCAACCAATCTCATTCGCAGTGAGACTTGTGAGCCACTTGGAGAGTACCCTCCCCATAAAAGTCCACGTATAATTTTGGTGCCAGTTAAAGGCTTGACTCTTTGCCTCTGCATTTGCAGTGGTTATCATTTAGTTGATAGTAGGTTAGCCTGTTCTGTTATTTTAGCTGCTCTTATTGTTTATTGATGATTTATTATTGTTCCTTATATTGTTCTCTGTTTTGTACTGAGCTCTGGGATCCACTGAGGTGAAGAGTAGACTACAAAGGCTCTTCATAAGTAATGTAAATAAAGTAATGACCTGGATTAATTTTGTGAGGACATTAAGCTAACAATTGCGTTTGGGGTGTGAGTTTTTTTGGACTGATGGCCTGTGTGGTGTGTGTGTGTGTGTGTGTGTGTGTGTGTGTGTGTGAGAGAGAGAGAGAGAGAGAGAGAGAGAGAGAGAGAGAGGGAGTACACCCACACCCACACTTGCCATATATTAAGTCATAACACTGTTGACTATGACGAGACTAGGAACCATACTCCACGCTCCTCAGCAAAGGTGTCTTGGAGACCTATCAGGAGATGTGAGGGCTTGATTGTAAGATCTTCTGCCTTTCAGACTGTTTGCTCTGCTAATGAGTACTGGTGGGTCCGGTGCTCAAATTCTGGGATAAAAGGTGGAGGGGGAGCTTTAATTTAATTTAATGCACAAGCCCCACCTGGTGGTGCAAAGGACAGGAGCATCCTCCAGTTGTAACCCACTCACCTTCGTTTTGCCCCGGCAGGGATTGCTTTATGCTCTGCTTCCTGAATAGTGCCACCAGTTTTGTGGCTGGCTTTGCCATCTTCTCCGTGTTGGGCTTCATGGCGCACGAACAGGGTGTGCCCGTCTCATATGTGGCTGAATCAGGTGAGCATGCAGGGACTGCAACAAAGAGACTGGTGAAATATAAAGCATGGCTTGGGGTCTTAAGAATGGAACTATGAACAGGAAGCTGCCATATACTGAGCCCATTGGTCCATCTAGCTCAGTATTGTCCACAATGACCAGCAGTGGCTCTCCAGGACTTCAAGCAGGGGGTATTCCCAATCCTACCTTGAAATACTGGGGTTTGAACCCAGGACCTTTTGCATGCAAAGCAGATGTTCTACCACTGCGCTATGGCCCTTCCCAAGCCTGAAGAGATGCATAAAAGTTATCAGGACTACGGGTGGAAAACATTTTTTATTGCTTCTAAAACTGTTGATGCTCTGAGTTTGTTCTTTAGCCAGAACCAGCTGACATTACATATCAGGACATAAACAGAGTGGAATAATGCATATCTTCATGCCACTTCTCAGAGCCAAGATTGCATTCATGCCCTGCAAAAATTCCTAGAACATGTGAACCATTCTGTATTATTGTGCAATACCTGGCTTTTCATATAGTAGCTCAGTTATGGATCATTATGAGAGCTAGTTAAATCCACTGACTGAGACCATCGAGACAATGGGAAGACCCCACTCCACCAGGAAGCTCTAAACCTAACCTACTTCGTGGGGTTGTTATGAAGGTAAAATAGATGTGGGGAGAAATAATAGACCCCCAACCTGATGGGATGGACTGAGCACGTTTAGAGGGTGTGGAATCCAGACTGACTGTTGGGAACGAGAGGGCCAGAATTGAGCGGATGGGATCCCAGAACCTGGAAGCTTTTGTTGTAGGTCCCACTACGACACTAAAGGAGGTTAAAAAAAATTGCTAGAAAGGCCAGCATAAAATATTAGATTGAGCATCTGGTTAGAAAGATAAAGGGCACTGCGTTGTATCCAATAAATTATATCCTGAGTAGACCCACTGAGTTCAATGGACTTGGCTAACTTGAGTCCATTGGTGTGAATAGGTCTACTATGAGTATGACTTGGTTTGATGCAACTGTTTGGGTGGAATTCTGTGTAGCGCAATTGTTCTATCAACACAACCATTATATGCTTGTCTGATGGAAGAATCTCTCCTTTCCTCCCACCTGTTCACTGTTCTGGGATTTTGCCAAATCCTCCAGAGCAGATTTGGGGGGTGCACAGGGTGAATGAGGGGAGGGAGCGGAAAGTCCTGTTCTGCTAGTGGAAGTCCTTGCACCAACTTCTGACAGCTGAATGGGGTAGTTGAATCTGGCCCTTTCCCTCCACCTTGTTGTACATGGAAAGACACCTCATGATAGATGTAGATGTGTCTCTATCAACCCAGTTTATCTGTTGGGTTAGTGAAACATCAGTTCACCTGTTTCTGCTCAATTGGTAGGTCCTGGATTAGCATTTATCGCCTACCCAAAAGCTGTCACCATGATGCCTGTGTCTCAGATTTGGGCCTGCTTGTTCTTCCTTATGCTGATCTTCTTGGGACTGGACAGTCAAGTATGGAAAAATATTTATCATTTTCCTGAGTTTGGGGGTGGTATGTCTGTAATAGTATCTTGCGGGGGGGGGGGGGACCTACTAAATGGTATCTGGAAAAAAGGAGTGAGAAGAATAAATGATAAGCATTAATTTGTTGTATAGATTAGTGAAAAGATGTGGGAAGCTGTCACTTCGACCTGCATCTGATGTGCATTATTAATTAATTAACTGATTAATTAATTAATTAACTTTTTATACTTCCCTTCATCCAAAGATCACAGGGAAGTTCACAACATAAAAATACACAATACATAATAAAACAAACCACCACCAATAACCCCCTCTCACAAACACATTTAAAAGGCCATAGAATGTTAATCAGCCAAAGGCCTGGTTATAGAGAAATGTTTTTGCCTGGAGTCTAAAGACAGGTAATGAAGGTGCCAGGTGAGCCGTCACGATCCACAGATTTTGCTAACACAAATGCAAACTTCCTTCTTGTTGCATCCATTCCCCCCCCCTCACCTTTTTGGTTTCCCAAATGAAACGTCATTTCTCAAGATGTTTACATGGTTAAATATTATGAGGTGGGGAGAGATAATAATAATAATAATAATAATAATAATAATAATAATAATAATAATAAATTATTTCTACCCCGCCCATCTGGCTGGGTTTCCCCAGCCACTCTGGGCGGCTTCCAACAAAAGATTAAAAATGCATTAAAAACTTCCCTAAACAGGGCTGCCTTCAGATGTCTTCTAAATGTCAGATAGTTATTTATTTTTTTGACATCTGGTGGGAGGGCATTCCACAGGGCAGGTGCCACTACCAAGAAGGCCCTCTGCCTGGTTCCCTGTAACTTCGCTTTTCTCAGTGAGGGAACCACCAGAAGGCTTTCAGCGCTGGACCTCAGTATCCAGGCCGAACAATGGGGGTGGAGACGCTCCTTCAGGTATACTGGGCAAAGGCCATTTAGGGCTTTAAAGGTCAGCACCAACACTTTGAATTGTGCTCCGAAATGTACTGGGAGCCAATGTAGGTCTTTCAAGACTGGTGTTATGTGGTCTCGGCGGCTGCTCCCAGTCACCAGTCTAGAGAAGAAAAAGCAGTTGAATTGGCTAACAAAGGATATACTAACACGCATCCATTACAATGCATGGTGGCCACTATTTACAGATCTATAGATTTATAGATCTACACACACAGAGAGAAATGACAGCCTATCTAATGCATTACTGTCTATGGTGACTGACACAGTCTTTCTAGGGTCTTGCATGGAGGTATCTTCTGAGCCTTTTAACTGGAGCTGCCAAGAATTAACCGCGGGTCTTCTGCATGCAGAAAAAATGTTCTCCCATTGCTGAGTTACAAACCCTCCCCAGGGGCAAGGGGAAGTTTTGGCTTCCAGCCACTTTGACTTGTGCCAAGGCAGTCATGCACACACCCACGTGGAAGGATTCAGGCCACTTGAGGCATGCCATTGCAAACAATGAGTGTGGCAGGGTGGGGATGGTTTCCAGCAATGTATCTCAAGTCCAGTCCTGCATGTGCTGGGAGATGTGCATGACTGACTGGGTTATGGCTACAAGAAGTTATGACTAAGAGCAGGCATAGGCAAACTCTGGCCCTCCAGATGTTTGGGACTACAATTCCCATCATCCCTGACCACTGGTCCTGTTAAGCTAGGGATGATGGGAATTGTAGTCCCAAACATCTGGAGGGTCGGAGTTTGCCTATGCCTGGCTAAGAGTGAACACTGACAAGGAAATTGGAGGAGAGGGAGGACCAAGGAAGGGGAGCTCTGGAACATGGTATTTCCTGATATGACTATTTCTTCCATAGTTTGTCTGTGTCGAGAGCTTGGTGACAGCCATTGTTGACTTGTTCCCAGACATCTTCCGTAAGAAAGGACGTCGGGAGGTGCTGATCCTGGGCATTGCAGTGATCTGCTACTTGATTGGCTTGCTACTAGTCACTGAGGTGAGAAGCAGAGCTCAGTGGGAGGGCAGAAGAAGCATTTGGAAATAACACCTGCCCCAACAACCACACAATGGCATACAATCATTATTATCCAGCACTCTAAGCTCACATAAATGGTTAGAAGACGCTGCAATGCGATTTGCATTTCCATATGCTATACAGTTGTATCTTGAACGGAATGTGTTCCGGGAGTCTGGTCGACTTCCAAAACGTTCGAAAACCGAAGCACAACTTCTGATTGGCTGCGGTAAGCTCCTGCATCCAGTTGGAAGCCGCACTGGATGTTCAGCTTCCAGAAATCATTCAAAAACTGGAACACTCACTGGTTTCCATTGTTCAAGAGCTGATTTGTTCGGGAGCCAAGGCATTTGAGATCCAAGGTATGACTGTATATGTCCTTTCCCCCAGGGACAGTCCATGTCTTTTGGTGCCTGACCCAAATAAATCACTACCCCTCTTTTCTTCCTGGTTTTGTCTCTGGAGTGCCTTTTGAACCAGGGGTGGAGAACTATTTTCAGCCTGAGAGCTGTGTTCCTTCAAAGGTCATCTTCTGGAGGCAAAAGTGGGTGGAACAACAAATACGATTTTTATCTTTGTACATTAGGCTACATATCCAGCCACACAGAAGTTATTGGTTTCTACATGCAAACCCATCCTCCACCAAGGCAAGCAATCAAAAAAGCCCCCAAAGGCTCCATTCATTGTGAGAGGAGAGGCTGGGGACCTTGGTGAAGGTTTGAGAGTGCTTTGATGCCAATGGGTGTCACACTAGGGACCCCAGAGGTGTCCCCATTTCCATCTGTGAAATGATGGAGAATATGAGGAACATCTGTACTATGTGAGGATTAAAAGTCTGTGCACCAAACCCCCAAATGGCTCACCTTAGAGAACATACATGTACCATCTGTGCAAGGAACCCAGAGCTGGCACCAAAGGTCAGCATGGTCAGGCATGTTATCAGCAGCAGAAGAGCGTAGGAGTCCCGTTCCATTTCCTCTTTCAGGCTCCTATTCCATGGAGTATTGGGAACTTGCCCCAGAGGCACTTGGGTCATTGCATTTTCCAGGTGGATGTGCACAGCATCAAGTCCTTCCACCTTCTGGAATTGCAAAAATGTGTAGGCATGCTGTGGAATGTAGGAAATGAGAAGGGCTGTGATCCTCTTTCACTAAGACCTGTAATCCAGGAAGGGGGAACCTTGTGCTCTCCAACTGTTGCTGGACTACAATTCCCAGAATCCTTAAGCACTGGCCATGTGGGCTGGGGCTGATGGGAGCTGGAGTCCACCCACATCTGAAGGGCTACAGATCCCTGCTGCAAGGCATTTTGACAACACCCTGCCACAGTGAGGAGGCATTTAGGTGGGTTTGCTTGACAGATTTTTTTTAATAGCAAGGTGAGTTCTTCTGTGCTTCTTAACACCATACTAATATAGCTCACCGGTTTGTTGGCTTCTTCAGACATTTTGCTCTGGTTGTTTGCAAATGGTCTTCCTTTCCCCCTTTGTGCCTCTTGCAGGGTGGAATGTACATCTTCCAGCTGTTTGATTATTACGCAGCCAGTGGGACCTGCCTGCTCTTCCTCGCTATCTTCGAAGTCGTCTGCATTGGATGGGTTTATGGTATGTAGAAGTTCTGGGATTGGGGAGAAATTTGGTTCGGGTTCACATTTTAAGGCATATATCCACAGTTTGCACTTCCTGAAATGATGTGTGAATTGAGATGCATCTGTCCTTTGAAACTCACGCTTCGGTGAATTTTGCAATACACTTTTCCATCCCCGAAATGTGCACAAAAATGCATGTCTTAGTGAAAACAGCATCTGAAAAGGGCCCTCCTTCTCTACTACAAGGATCTTTCCCTCCAATCAGCAGGAAGAGGGGAGGGGGGAAGTTTAAACTTTCTCTTCTCCTGATCTCTCCTCTGCCAATTAGCAGGAAACAGCTCAGCAGCAGAGAACAGGGTGCAAGGCTGAGTCTGTCTCCTGAGCTGTCCAGGCCAGGAAGAGAGCAAACCTGCATTTCCTTTTTAAAAATAATAATAATAATTTTTATTAGTTTTCAATTACAATTCAATAATAGCCTCATTATAACAATGCTAATGTATAATGCAATTATTAATACCAATTGTTTGAGTACTGAATGATATAATTTAGATAAAGTGGCCCCCTGCATGCTAGAATTGATGGCTTGATTATTTGCTTTATTTCTGCATTCCAAAATCTTATTAATTTCCATAACCTTCCAGTCATAATAATAATCCTTTATACAACAACTGCAATATTAATAACTTCGGTTTGGGTTGAAACATTAAATGATTTCTAAAACTACAAGTGAGAAACTCAAACTATATCCTTGTTCTTTCAGTTGTGTGGAAATTATTCTGTCCATGGTGTTTCTTCCAGTCCTTGTAAGATGTTACGTCTTTCTTTCCCCCGGTTGTTGCTTCCACACCCCAAGGTGTGCCCCTCGGGGCAGGTAGTTATCACGTTCTTGACCTGCATGACAACTGTATTTCTCAGCACATGCTTATCTCATTCATGTGACATATTTAGGTGTACATCTAAAATAGGTTTATTTGCTTTTCCTTCTGGTTAATTTCAATATTTGACTGGTGTGTTCTCTTATGCCAGTTGCCCATCCTGAACTATCCCAGTGTTAACATCCCAGCAACTCCTTCTGCAAACGAGGGACTTGTTGGAAGACAAATAATAATAATAATAATAATAATAATAATAATAATAATAATAATTTATTATTTATACTCCGCCCATCTGGTTGGGCCTCCCCAGCCACTCTGGGTGGCTTCCAACAGAATATTAAAATACAATAACCTATTAAACATTAAAAGCTTCCCTAAACAGGGCTGCCTTCAGATGTTTTCTAAAAGTCTGGTAGTTGTTTTTCTCTTTGACATCTGGTGGGAGGGCGTTCCACAGGGCGGGTGCCACTACCGAGAAGGCCCTCTGCCTTGGCTTCTCGCAGTGGGGGAACTGCCAGAACGCCCTCAGTGCTGGACCTCAGTGTCTGGGCAGAATGATGGGGTGGAGGCGCTCCTTTAGGTATTGTTGTTGTTTAGTCGTTTAGTCGTGTCCGACTCTTCGTGACCCCATGGACCAGAGCACGCCAGGCACTACTATCTTCCACTACCTCCTGCAGTTTGGTCAGACTCAGTCCTTCAGGTATACTGGACTCATAGTTCTTTTGGTGACAGAACACTATTTCTGGAAAGGCTTAGGAAGGATCCCTTGACCTCCTGTGTGCAAGCTCACGTGCCTAATTATATGCACTCCATTCTAAATCTCTTTCCTCCCCCATCCCAAAACCTCACTCTATGTTGGCATGAAATACCATGTAGGTAAACGGGCAACTTGTGCCCAGGGATTGTTGCTCCTCTTGCCCTCTCTGAACCCGAGGATATGTAGTTTGGCAGCCCAGATCTGCTTTGCTTATGCTGCAAAGGTTTACAGCAAACATCGTAAATAAAGACACATGTTTCAGACTTGCCTGTTGGCAGCCATGATGGTGCCACCCACACAGCCTGGCAGCTTTCCCCCTGCCTGTCAAGCAGACATCGTGACAAAGATTTGAGGATTTCCTGCATATGGCTTTATTTCTGTGAAAGGGGTATGCCATTTCCAGCCAATTTTTGGTTGCTGTTGCAGTTGCCAAAAGTAAGAGTCTATATGGGAGTCTTCCTCCCTCCCTCCCTCCCTCCCTCCCTCCCTCCCACACACCATGCATGTTTTAAAAAGATTGGAATAATAACACACCCCCGGGAGCATTTTCTGAACATCCCCAGTGTATATGACCCCAATATTACTTGCTCAGAAAGAGATCTTCTCCTGCTGGAGAAGAATTCAGGTTTAAGCTGTTGGAATCTTAGATAACCAGGTTTGGCACTGGGTGAAAGAATCCTCAGGACAATTTTCTATGTGGCCTTGAAATGAATCCGTGGCCTGTCTCTAATAATTTCCAATAAGTGTATCTTTCTGGCACAAGCACACAGACAAATTTGGATAGGCAGAGTTGGTGTGGCAAAGAGTGCAAGCTGTGAAATGGGATATTCCCACCCCCCTTCAGATCCTACCCAGCTGCAAACTTGCAAGATCGCATTAAGATTAGGGTAATATGCAGTTCCCTCAGCTTTTCTCTGCAATATTCAGAGTGAGGGGGTAATAATATTGCTGGCCTTTGATTCAGAACTGTTATAAATGATTCTGCAATAATAGGTGGGGAGGGTGTGTGTGCAGAATGCTTGAGATGTGCTATTAAAATGCTAAGTATGGTTATGCTAGTATTTGGGCACAGGCGTTGCAAGTTGGACACCTATGCTGGGTGAGCAACCAGGAGCAGGCTGAAGATATGCTATGGTACAGAGGTGGAGCACTGACCATTTCTTGGGGCATGGGGGGGGCACCTTGTTGCAAGGTAGTTGCTGGGATGACCAGGGACCAAGAAGCTATTTGACACACGGCGCATACTGCTTTCATGGCCTGCTGCTTTGTGACCGTATTTCAGCTTGTGTGCTTTAGGTTGTCCAGGATAACAGCGAACACCTCCATTTACTCAAACAAAGCTCTCCCTAAGGAGTTATTCAAGGCCCTTCTCTACGGCAGTGTACATAATCTTTTTGAATAGATGACCGGGGGTGGGGAGGCTGAGCCACATCCTTCTTCCAGCTTCCACTTTTGCCGGAGAGCAGCACTGGCTGACTGAACTGATGACTCCTTAAGCCTGATTAATTTTTTTCCATCATCATTTTGAAATATAGAGCATGCCAACCTCCCCGTTCAAGGACTCAGTAAATCCATTCGTGTCAGGTTCCATTGCTTTCTACTATGTCACCCCTTGCCTTTGACGGGTTGGGCTGAAATCTTTGCAGTGCAGCATTTCTGCAAGGAGGCAGATGAGTAAATAAAGCTTTAACAATGCTATCATAGTCATAAAATCATAGAATTGCAGAGTTGGAAGGGACCACGTGGGTCATCTAGTCCAACCCCTTGCAATGCAGGAACCTTTTGCCTAACATGGGACTCAAAACCACAATCCTGAGATTAAGAGTCTCATGCTCTACCAGCTGAGCAGTGTTGGTGAATATGCCCCAAATTGCTGCTGTTACTCACTTTTTACTTATCTAAAATGTTTCCTTTTCTCTCCCCACCCACTAGATTACCATTCCCCTGAACTAGCAAAATGTCTGCTTTTTTATAAAAAGTTGTATCTCAGTATCTCATAATAAGTCTCCTTGACTTCTGATGTTGCTTGCATCCCAATTTGCTAATCTTCCCTGATGTCACAGCAGGCATATGTGCATTGGGGTGTGGGAAAGGTTTCATAGTGACTTGCCAGTGGTTTACTTGCTGTGATTCACAGCAAGGCTGAGCCACTTGGGATCAGGCACTTGGACCTTTGACTGAATCCTAGCTCCAGAAGTAACTTTTTAATTAAATGCAACTCTTTCATTTCTGTCTAAATGCTACAGGCTTTGGAATAAGATTCCTTGTTTGCTCAGTCAGAGCCTGAAGATGAAAACAGAGAGATGGCACTTGCTGCTTGTTTGACTCTGAAATTTAAAAACCAGCATTAGCTTCAATGGCACTACAAGCAGGACAAGTTATGGCTAATGTTTTGTGATACTCCATTTCAAATGTTCACAGAGCAGGGAACAGGCCTGAGCCTACAGTTCCAATTCCTGACCTCCACACATTCATCCATAGATCTGAATAAAGTACCGCTGGGTCAAAGTATCACCCACAAATTTGGTGTAAAATGTGGAGGATTGGGTTTTTGTTGGGAGTGAAATGCACCAGTGTACCATGGGCAGGGTTGGGTTGTGGTGGCTCAGTGACTGCCCCAGGATTGTAGAGATGAACGGAGCCATACTCTGGTCTCTGTCACTAGCCAGGTCATCAAGATTGACTGGGACCCAGCACCCCGGCTTCCCAGGAAAATCAAGCATAGCTGCCTCAATGGATACTTTCCTCTTTTAACTACATTTCCCCCTCTTTTGTGTAGTATCTATTAGATTGTGATATTTAAGGGAAACATGCCTTATCTTTTCATATATGTACAGCCCATAGAAAACTTTGGGTGCCCTATAAGTGAATAATAATAATAATAATAATAATAATAATAATAATAATGTCCGCAGCACAGGAAGACTTCTAGTGCTATGCTCCAGCCTAGCACCAGAAATTTAGGCAAGTATCCCTGCACTGCCCAGATGGTTGGGCAATGCTTGCTGTCACTGGTAGAGAGTGAGCATTGTACAATCACCTAGGCAACAGAGGGCCATTTTGTCTCCTCATGTCACTGCCCCAGAAGCTAGGCAAGCATCCCTGGGTTGCCAGGCAACTGTGCAAAGCTCACTCTCTTCTGGCAAGAAGGACCATTGCACAGCTTTTTATGCAATGCAGGGATGCCTAATGTCCAGAGCCATGGGAGGTGGAGACTCACAGTGGAAGCAGGCAGTGACTGGAGCTAGTGAAATGTGGGCAGGTAAGAACAGGACCTTGGACAGCTCTGAAAGCCAGTAGCAACTGTAGATGTTGCCTCTGCAGGGAGTTGGTGCCACGCGAAGCCTTATGTAAGCAGACAAAACCTGGAGTGCGGTAGGCCTTGCCTTGCAGGAGTTGTGAAAGGGGAATCACCTCAAGGCAGCAGAGACAGAGGTACTATAAAGGACTCATCCCCTGAGTCAGAGAATGCTGGCAGGGCTGTGGCTTCTGGTTGGGAATGTCCTGAACAAGATACTGGCAGATCTTCCCCACACCCATGAAGGAAGCAGTTTGTCATACCCTGCAAGAACCTTGTCCAAGAAATATGACCCTCTTGCTGAGAGTGGCCAAACTCTGATTTGAAGGCTTTCTTTTGGGTTAAAAAGGATGAGGGGAATCCTTGGCCATCTCATAACACCCCACCTCGACAGTTCTTAGAATTCCATTCTACCTCTGAAGATTAATCCAATCTTCAGAGGGTGTGTCCCCCCCCCCAGCCCAGCTTATAAAAATCACCAGACCCAGCACTCCTTATGACTAAACAGATAAGACACCACTAAAACCGACCAACCGTATAAGAACAACAACTGCTATTTTTATGGAACATAAAACAGCATTATGCCTAAAGATGAAAAAGAACAATAAAACATTTTAACTCTGAAGATAAGATACGAGAAGACAATAAATAAAATGCCTTGTAAATCACCAAAAAGGGTTACTTCTAACAGAACTTTGTTTGCATTCCAAAGCACTATCGAAGTTTTCAGGTTTCCCTCCAATTCATTAAAAAATGGTCTAACAACAATAACAACAATAACAATAATTTTATTATCTATAACCCGCCCGTCTGGCTGGGTTGTCCCGGCCACTCTGGGAGGCTTCCAACACATATAAAAACATAATGATATGAATACACCATTTAATCTTATTCATAACAGCAAGATCTTCTTAGTTGACTTCATCACTGGTAATGAAGTGAAGTTGCTAGAACAGGGATGAGGAGTTTGTGGCCCTCTGAACATGGTGGGGACTCCCAGCTTCTCCCAGCAAGCAAGACCCATTCTCAGGGATGATGGGAGTTAGTGTTCAACAGCATCTGGAGGTGGTCCCCATCCCTGGGCTAGTGATGGTTGAGATATAGGAAACCCAGCTTCAAAAACCCCAGTCGGCCATGAAGTTGACAAAATGGTCTCTTGATACGGTTGTTGTTCGGTTGCCCAGATCTATTTGGAGAAAAGAGCGAATGGAAACATACAAATAAACTACAGAGCTGATGATTGTCTGGGGTGTGTGTGTGTGTGTGTGTATAAAATCAAGTTAATCTGTTCATCTGGTTCTTAATATTATGGATTTATGTTGATTTTTTATAAACCACCCTTCTCTTTCTTTGTGGGCATCAAGGAGCAGACCGTTTCTATGACAACATTGAGGATATGATTGGCTACCGGCCATGGCCCTTGGTTAAAGTGTGCTGGCTCTTTCTCACACCTGGAGTTTGTCTGGTAGGTAGATTGTATCTTTTGTGCCGTGTTTTAGGTCATTAATGCATCTCTGAATGAGGATGAAACATTGAATTTTCCATGAGGATTTCAGTAAAGAACTTCTTGTTCTTCTGTTGCAGTGTTGCTGAAGTAACAATGTAATTCAGAATACTAATAACAGAATAAAACTTCAAACATTAAAAACTACCCTAAACATGGCTGCCTTCAGATGTCTTCTAAAAGTCAGATAGTTGTTTATTTCCTTGACATCTGATGGGAGGGTGTTACACAGGATGGGCACCACTACCGAGAAGGCCCTCTGCCTGGTTCCCCGTAACCTCTTCTCCCAGTGAGGGAACCGCCAGAAGGCCCTCATTACCCCTGCTTATTGGCCATACTAGCTGGGAATTGTAGTCCACACCATCTGGAGGGCGCCAGGTCAGGAAGGGCAGCCCAAGAGGATCTTCACAACCACCTCTCCATGGGCTACCATGACTCAAGTGCAGTGTGGGTTGTCTTCCTCTCCACAGCTTAAATCATTCTGCTATGAAGTATCAAGTTATAAATATCAGTATACAGCTCTTTTCCAGAGTTATCGTCTCATTGCACTTAGCATAGCAGTCATGCTTTCTGCTTTTGTCTTCTTCAGGCCACCTTCCTGTTTTCACTCATTAGGTACACACCACTCACGTATAACAAAGTATACGAATATCCGCCATGGGGTATTGCTGTGGGCTGGTTGATGGCGCTGTCCTCTATTATCTGCATCCCGTTGTACGCTGTGTTCATCCTCCTGAAAACCAAAGGATCATTAAAAGAGGTAAAAGAAAATGAGGCATTTCTAAGGTCACAGAACTTTGGTTTGCTATTGGGTAGGGCTGTTCACTGGCTTGCAAGATGTGGAATTGGCAGCTTCGGTGATTTTTACTGTAGTACAGAAAGTCAGAATGGCCTTGGTTTGCTGTGTCCCAAAATAATTGGGTGTTAGTGACATCCTAAGCCATGAAGCAATGCTCTGGTTATTTCAGAGGACCTAACCCTGAATTCTGCTTAATTGCAAGCATTCCTTTTTTATAAACTTATTAGCATATTTAAAAGCATACCTGGCTTGATATACATGCAGTTCCGCATGAACAGCAGATTGCCACCATACATTGGATTGAGTATGGCAGACCAAGAGCCATATGCAAAGCCCTTGTTGGACCGTTACACCAAGGTAATGGCCAATCTGTTTGGGGAAAGGAAGACCCCTATACAACAGGAATCATGCCAAACTATGGTTTAGGAATGTTTACTCTGCTTTTGGGTAATGTGTGAATGGACAGATCATTGTTTGTGATTTGTGATGTTGATGTTATTTATTTATTTATTTAATAAATGTTTAACCCACCTTCAACACCCCAAGTTGTTAAAAACCCAATCTGAAAGTCAAGTTATTAAAATCTGATTGGCAAACTTAAATCAGAGACCGTGGTTTGAAGTCAGTTGGCAAACCAAGGTTTGTCGCAGCTATGGCTTGATGCGGTGTCTGAATTGACAAATTACAGCTCTAAAGGCTGGAGTGCCGTGTAGATGAGAGCAACCAAGAAGTTCTAAACTATGATTTGCTTGCAAATTTGGAACAGGGGTGGGCAACCTGCAGACCTTGACCTAATTTTATGCAGCCCTGAACCTTGGGGGAGGAAAAATGGAGAAAGGAGTCCAAATTAGCGGAGTGATGGAAAGATGAGAGGGGAAAGCTCTCTGCAGGCGATCAGTTCATAACTCTGGCAAGAATGATCTGTCTAGTCCCCAGCTACCTGTTGGCAGGAAGTGGGAGGGAAGGGAAATGGGGTGGGGGAGAGGTGGCAGAAAGATAGAGTGAGAAGGGGCAGCCCTGCCTGCCTCTGGTGTTATCTGCTCCCACCACTGGCATGAAATCCCTGGCAGACCACTGCAGAGAGAATGAGGCCTTCAACAGAAGAAAGTTCCCTCACCCCGATTTGAACCCTTGCAGCTTGTTCTGGGGTTCTTAAACAATGCTTCATACAAACCACAGTTTGATGTGATGTCTAAATCGAGCCGTTGACTTTTAATCTTGTGCATTTTTGGTGCAAGATCATTGTTGTTGGCTTGCTGGAAACTGCAGCTTTTGGAATGACAGATAATTTGAAAAGGATGAAATGCAATCTTCTAGGCACACACCTCGTTGGGTGGTGCGTCTGCGTGTTTTCTGGTGAGGCAATTTAAGTCGCAGTGACAAGTGGCTGGGAAATCTCACACACTAACACTGAAGAGAATGAACTTTGCAGAGGGTGCCCTTCCTAGTGCTCTGACCTCCGGGAAGGTGATGTTGTGCCCTCAGGCCCTTGTTTACTGACTAGGGATTCTAACATAATGAGGAATGACAGGCTGTAGGCCGGCGCTGATTTAATGTCCACCTCAGGTGGACAAGTTGTGAGGCAAAGCCCTGGACTGGGAAGAAAAGGAAGGGGAGCCTTGAGGAAAACACACAGATGAGGCAAAGGGCACAAACAAATGAAAAATATGCAGTGGGAAGGAAAGATCAGAAATATTGCATTATAAAAAGACCTCACTGTTTCCAGTTGGGTGTATCCACAGCTACATGAAGTACAATGACCCTTTTTCTTGTGTGTGATGACGAGGGCACCTACCTGAAGGGGAACAAGGGATGTGGCTCACTTGTTGACAGGGAGTGAATTGCTAGTGGAGTTTTTGACAGGTGGACAACTTTTTGTTTGGAGAGGGAAAGCAAAGGTGTGTTTTCAGGAGGCAATTTGGTTCCACCTTGATGTTGCCTTTAACACCTTTGAAGACAGCTGCACCATTTCCAGTCAACTGTGTTGACACAGCATGCCTCATACGGTCAAAGTGGAATGAAAAGGAATATTCTTTGTTCTCTGGAGGTTTCAATTCACTGCTACTGAGGTATTAACTGTAAGATCTTTAAATTATCTTTAAATGTATTGTCTTCAATATGCAGTACTTTCCTGTCTTCAAGTCATAACATGATGAGCTTAGCGATGTGAATATCTCCATTGTTGAGGATCGCACTCAAAATGAATAATAATAATTGCCATAATTTAATAGGTTTCTGAGCCTCTTTTCTCCTTGCAACACTCTAACAGCGCAGAAGTAAGTCCTTTTGAATTCAGTGAGGACTACTCCCTGGCAAATGGGGTTAGGACTGTAGCCTTAGTGATTTCCAGAAAGTAAAAACCATGTGAAATTGACAATTCTTAATTTACACACTTATTATGGAGACATTGATTTACTGGCTAGCTACAAAAGAGGAGTGCAAGTGTAGCTACCTGGCAAGTTACAGCTGCTGAAATTCTCTCTTCTACACAACAAGGACCAGAAAGTGGCCAATATAACTCCATTTAAAGGTGGGGGGAGGATCCAGAGTCGAATTTGGGAAGTTACAGGTCAATTACCTTAACATCTGTTCTGGGAAAGCTGGTAGAAAGCATAAATATAGAATTACCAAGCACACAGAAAAACAAGTCTTGCTGTAGCAAAACCAGCAAGGCTTCTGTAATGGTAAGGTCTGTCTTACTAACCCAGGCATAGGAGACCTGTGGGCCATGGGTCTTACTAGGGCCACCAGGCCTCTGAATTGGCCTGCCAAGCCATTTTGGGCAAACCACACCTACCAGTCATTCACCTGACATCAGGGATGGAGATAAGACATTTATTATCTTCGCTCTTAGCACTGAGCACCATAGCTCTAAGATCAGAGATAAGCTTCTGACTTCTTTTTGACAATGAATTGTCAAAGTTCAGGCAGCACCTGCAATCTTAGTGCTGTGAGACCACACCGCTAAGATAAGAAATAGGTCTCTGCTGTCCTTTTACCATCAAAGAGCAACCAGAGGCACCACATAACTTTAAGTCTAGGGTTGCCTTTCCTCAGGTTAGTTCTAGAGAAGAAGAGTTTGGATTTGATATCCTGCTTTATCACTACCCGAAGGAGTCTCAAAGTGGCTAACATTCTCCTTTCCCTTCCTCCCCCACAACAAACACTCTGTGAGGTGAGTGGGGCTGAGAGACTTCAAAGAAGTGTGACTAGCCCAAGGTCACCCAGCAGCTGCATGTGGAGGAGCGGAGATGTGAACCCGGTTCACCAGATTACAAGTCCACCGCCCTTAACCACTACACCACACTGGCTCTCGGGCACAGTCATTTAGGCTATCTAGCAAAGTTACCTCTTTGTTTATGTGAACAAATATTTACCAGTCTATGTGAAGGTATTGGTGCATTATTACATTTCCTCTTATGGATGCTTCCTTAGTTTCATTCAGCATCTCAGGATAACTCCGGACATTTAGTGCAGTCGTACCTTGAAAGTTGAGAAGCTTAGTTCCTGAACGTTTTGGCTCCCGAATGCCGCAAACCCGGAAGTGACTGTTCTGGTTTGCAAACTATTTTTGGAAACCGAACGTCCAGCGGGGCTTCGGCGGCTTCTGATTGGCTGCAGGAGCTTCCTGCAGCCAATCAGAAACCACACTTTGGTTTTTGAACGTTCTAGAAGTTGAACAGACTTCCAGAATGGATTTTGTTGTACTTCCAAGATATGACTGTATGTTCCCAGTACTAACTTACTCTTTGCTCCAGGTATTACCATCCACAGTGAGTATGTGGATGAGTCTGCGCTTTTGGGGGCTTTCTAGCTTGTATGTCTTTGACATACATATTGGTGTCTCCTTCATACATATTGGTGTCTCCTTCATTATGCCCTCCCTTGTTCTTCCTATAGACTTTTATCTCGAGATAAGTGCCCTCCACTGTTCCTGTCACTATTCCCCCAGGTTTCTGCTGTGCTCACTATATCATCTATCCTTTCCTTTAAAATCAAGCACTTCAGCTCACCCATCTCAGCTTGGAGTCTTCAAGCGTTAGTACATAAACACCTGCACACGATGTGTCTTTATGTCTCTGCCATAGGCATTTTGCCCTACGATGCTCTGGCTTCTTTGAATCAGCCTCTGTTCCAGCTGGCTGTGGAACTGCAGTGCCTGAGCAGCATTAAAGGGCCCTGGTGTGGAATCAGCTTAAGACAATAAAAAGAAACCACAGCACCAATAACCCAAGAAATAGGCAGCATTAAACCATTTGTACTGGATTGCCTTGTTGATTTCAGTTTATTGTCGTAGCCAAAGGCCATAACAAATACCACTGAATATAGTTAGCATGCACAGATGGGGGAAACATTACCAAACAGAACAATTAAATATATACAAATGGAACAAATATCAACTCTCCCCACTTTCTGTTCTAATAAAATTAAAATAATAAAGATTTATCTTTTAAAAGAAATCATTTGGTTCAGAGCAATTCTTGCACAACTTTTAATTAGGTAAAACAAAACAAATATTATTATTTTTTTAAACACCCCAGTGCAACACATCCTAGCAGCAAGATGATCTGGTTTGCCAAGTTACTTAATTCCACCAGAAATGAAATCCAGGCCTTTAGGAAACTCAGAAAAGCAAGAGGAGCACCAGTTTTGCCCTTCAAGCTTAATTTCTGATATTATCTGGATCTCATAACAGGAAAGCTAATATTTTCTTCTATCATTCAAGTAGCTTAGAAAAATAGTAAAAACGAAACAAAACAAAAAAATGCAATTCTTAAAGTACAACCGGATGAGAACAGAGTTGTCATAACGATTCTTTTAACAATAAATGACATTGAGAAGGTCATTGTGAAGAACAGCCACCAATTCAAATAGATACACATATCCAGTGTTTATAGCACTATTCACCTGGCCATGGGGGGCATCACAACCTCTCTTTGTGCTTTGTCACATGATAGATTCAGATTTGAAGAAAATCTCCTAGGGAAGTATTTGAATGGACCAGCTGTGAAAATACAGGCAGTGAAGAACTAGTGAGAAACCCAAGTGCCATTTATATTTAGCAGGGGCAGAGGATCTCTCCCCCCCTGCAGGCATCATTCCAGTTGTGGTCGGGGCTAGAGGCAAAAGTGGGCGGTGCAATGGATGGGATTCTTACAGGAGGCTACATTCCACCCATGCAGAAGTCGGATGTTTCTACCTTCCTATATAGACACATATTACTCTCCATCCAGACAAGCAAATGGCATTATAATAGTACAAGGACATATTCCAGCTAGGCAAAAGCACTTGAGGAGAGTGCAGAGCAGGGGGCAATGAAGGGCATGGCCAGGGAAGTGGCTGTGGCTTAGGGGGAATCCTGAGGACCAGGAAAAGAGGCCTGCAGAGCTGCACTTGACCAAGTGGAGAAGTGGAACCTTCTTGGAGCAGCCTAGGCTGGCTGATTAGCTCCTGCTATTGCTTTATTCATTTATTTACAGCATTTTCAAACCAACACTTTCTCTAGAGGGTTTACAGCTAGGAGTGGACTAAATAGGCTGATTCCATCTGCATGCAGTTTTGCTGGCATTTAATGTTCCATTCCTCTTTGTGTGGAGTATTTTTTAAAAGAGCACATGAAAAGCCCACATTGAAATTGGGCACATTTTCTATGTGCTTTGTACATAAAACACACATTTGCAATGTTTTTCAATGCAAAATAGGCATATTTATGTGAAATACATATTCCCCCCCCACATGTGTTTTGCACACTGAAGCTGTGTTGCAAAATCTGTGAGCATATGGGGCTTCGGGGCTCAATTTTGATAGGTGGGCAGGTCCAGTAACATACCAATCACCTTACACCACAGGGCATCACCGTCAGAGGCAGTAATGCTTCTGAATACCAGTTGCTGGAAGCCACAGCTGTTGCACTGAGGTCCTGCTTGCAGGTTTCCCATAAGCATCTGGCTGGACATTGTGAGAACAGGTTGTTGGGCACTGCCTTTTACTGAATCGAACCATTGCTCAATCTAATTTAGTCTTCCCTATACTGACTGGCTGACCTGCCAACCTAGCAGTTCGAAAGCACACCAGTGCAAGTAGATAAATAGGTACCGCTCCGGCGGGAAGGTAAATTGCGTTTCTGTGCGCTGCTCTGGTTCGCCAGAAGTGGCTTAGTCATGCTGGCCACATGACCCGGAAGCTGTACGCCGGCTCCCTCGGCCAATAAAGCGAGATGAGCGTCGCAACCCCAGAGTTGGCCACGACTGGACCTAACGGTCAGGGGCCCCTTTACCTTTACCTTTATACTGACTGGCGATGTCTCTGCAGGGTTTCAGGCAGGAATCTTTCCCATCCATACCTGGAAGCACCAGTGATTGGACTTGGGACCTTCTGCGTGCCAAGCAGTTGCCCTACAGTTGAGCTACATCCCTTCTGCTACTTTCCTCTTACTTTATGCTATAAAGTGTGCACCACGTTGGCGTTACTGAAAGTCACTTTTTTTACATGGGTTTGGGAGGAGGAAGGGGCCTCATACTTTGAGTCAATCCCAGAAATGATTTAAAACAACAACAACCTACACACTTTGCAGCAAACTGCATTTCTGTGAATTTCTTCTCATCTTTGAAAAGTTTTGAAAAATTAAATGATAAAAAAAACCCTTTCAGTTAACAGCCCACTCCCTTGCTGACATATCATTCTGATTTGGTGCCTTCTGCTCACATGAAGAATTCTCGATTTATTATGTTTAGAAGGCTTTTGTAGAAACATCAGAGTAACTAATTAACTCCAGGAAACACTTTCAAAAATGAAAGCATTTCTTTTTGCTTCTGGGATTTCAGTAACGATAGGAACAGGCAGGCATATGTACTTTCCTGCCATCATATTTTTCAAACTCCTCTCAGCGATCTTGAGGGCTAGAGACTTCATTAAACAAACAAACAAAAAAAGAGAACTGAGATTCTTAAGGCTTCATCACAAGCTTCCAGGCCTCACGTTGCTCACCGCAGCTGGGTTAACCAGTGCTTCATGAATCAGAGCAATGTACCCAGTTCTGAATTGTGAAGTGCCAAGGTTAATTAACTTTGCAAAACTCCCAGATGCAAATTCTGACATTTAACTGACCTATGCTAGCACATGCTTTTAGTTTAAGGAAGTGAAGAGTGCTGTTTTCCTCTACTGTTTTAGACAGGTACTTCCTATATGTCTGTGTGGCATCTTGAGTCTCGGTCTGAGCAAAAGGCGGGATATTAATATTACTAGTATTAATAATAAGTGGATGCTCTTGCCATGGCACCAGATTGGGCCAGATCTTGAGCATTCTATCAAAAAGAGAAAGCAACTCCACGGGACTGAAAAAAATTACACTGTATTAAGTGATTCAGCATTTCTGTATTCCATAGTGGGGCAGCTAATCTGCATTGGCATTGCAGTGAGCATAGGAGTCCCCTGCTCCTTAAGTTGATGGCTGGAGTGGACTGCTACTGCTTGAAATGATGGTTACAAATAAGCTGTTCGAGGGCTTGCTCTGGAGGAAAGGCAGGCAGTGCAGCAGCCTGAAAAACGTGAAGCTTAGGAAGGTTCAGCACAGCCAGCAGTGGCTTGTGAGGCTGGTGGGTGGAGGCGGCAGCGTCCTTCCATTGGCAGCTTTGCACTTGTCTTGGGGCAAGGCAAGAGAGTGAGATCGGGGTACTCCAGGTGAGAATGTATCTGTGGGGCTGCTGCCATTCCAACCCTCTCCCAGCCTTGTCCCAGCACACTCACCAAGAGGTCACCATTACCACCATCGCCAGCCGCAAGTAGCACAGGGGAGGAATTTGATTCAGGTTGCATTTAAAGTCCATCTATCGCTATGCACTTTCTGAAATCAAAAGCAACTGAAACACAGCCAACCTGTATTTCAAGCCAAACATATATTTACTTGGTTAACATAAGGGTAGTTGAAGCTGTCCATTATCACAAGCAGAGATACTGCTCTGGCCTACTGAATCTAATGCTGGAAAAAGGCGGATTAGCATCCTGTTCTGCTGCGGGTTGGGGAGCACGGAGGAAGTGGCAATGCATTTTAGAATTTCATCCAGTGAGTCATGTCTGAAACGAGGCAAGTCAGGACCCTGGTCAGCTCCCATGGGGCCCTGCTACTTGAGTTGGCGAGATGTCTCAGCTAACAAAGCTATAAAAAGGCTAGCAGGGCCTGTCTTTCAAATGTCTCTGTCCCCTTGGCAGAGCTGTTTGCATTGTTTTAAAGGGCCTGTGACCTAGTCTGCAGCTGCATGCTCCTGTGGAGCAGTTCCAGGGGAATCACCTACTACTTCACACCGTTCTTCTGTCATTCATCCAGACAAACAAGAAGCATTATCAGAGTTTGAGGACACATTCCAACCAGGCAAAAACACTCCACTGTGGGGTGTGGCTGGGGGAGAGGGGTGTGGCTGAGAAGGTGTGACCTAGGGAGTGTCCCAAGGACCAGATATAGAGGTTGGAGGATCACACTTTGAGGTGTCCCAGGATGCTTTGCTGTTCTCCCCAAACCTGTGCCAACCACAGTACCTATCCACTGATCTGTAAGCACTGCTGAATGTTTATTGGGCTCTACCACATGGCGACAAAAAGTGAGCCTAAAGGCAAAATGGATCAGAATGTTACGTTGTTTCCCTTCTGCTCTTTTAGATGTGTCTTCCAATAATCATGCATTAGAATGTACAATGGATTTGCTCATGGAATGTCTTTGCCCAAAGCAATGGATACAGATGGCTATTGAGTGGTTGTCTGTCTAACAGCTATATTGACAGCTACATTGTCTGCTCCCTGCTTGTCTTTCTACAGCGGTTACGCCAGCTCACTTCTGCAGCAGAGGACTTGCCCCAGCCCAAGAAGCACCTGATTGCCTTATCTGGACAGTACTTCAAGCCCGGAGGTCAACATCCATGCAAGGATGTGCTCATCACCACAGAGAAGGAAACCAACTTCTAGACCTCCCAGGGAAGAACTTCTTTACCTTCTGGAGACATCTCTCTTTATTTCTTTTGTCTTCTGCATACATCTGGGATGAGTTGCTGCTCAGGGTCTCTTAAGATGCCAGCACCTTCTTCCCTTTACATTTACTTAGCATACAGACTGGAATAGGGCCAATGGAACAGTCACTGTACAGGTGAAAAATTGTCTGTGAAGGGTCCAGAGCTCAGAGGAATCCTGAATTCCTGTTTACTGATAGTGCTAGGGGGTTGCACCTGGCATGTTGTGCGTGCAACACAGGTGCTTTAACCACTGTGCTATACACTCCTTCCTGTTTATAAGAAATAAATTAGCAGCAAGATGTTGGAAAAGACAGTGAATAAAGCTAGCCAGTTCAAGTTCCCAGTGACTTCCTGAAAGTTTCTTCCACTGCTGGCTTAACTCCTTGGCAAAAACATTTCACGTTCCTTAAACACCTGAATCTTCATCCATATCTGCATGACCTAACTGCAGGAATTGTAGCAAATTTGGTGGATTACTGTTGTGTTGTTTTTAAATTTAAAATTCACAAAGATCTCTGCTGTAGGTGAGATTCCTTTTTTGTTTTTATCTTAAGAAGAGTGGCAACAATCCTCATTTGGATGTAGAAACCAGAGCTTGATCACTCAGCCTCTCCCATTACGCAGGAGGCCCTGGAGGGGGGAAAGGCGATAAATTGGAAGCAAGATGAGTTTGTCAGAAAAAGAGCATGTCAAAGCCACTTAAGATCTTTCTCTTTTTTCCCCTTTGAGAAGAGACTAGTGCAGAAAGGAAATGGAGCAGGCAGACAGTATTTCAGCTTGAATATCCATTGTTTGATTCAGCTCTGTGTGACATCCTTGAGTTGCTGGAAAAACCTGAGAAATGCAAGTTGAATGCAACTGCCATATAAGTAAATGCCAAAACTGCATTAGAAGTGCAGGACAGTCTGGATCATATAGGAGATAACAAAGCTGAAGTCTCTGACCGCATGATGCTAGCTTAGCATTTGTGATACAGAGGTTGGCATATGGTCTGTGGCACAAAATAAGAGGTAGTGGGGGTGGGAGGGAAATGGAAGACGCAACAAGCTAGAAAATCAATTTCTGCGCACAGAGTCCTGGTTTGCTTTCATTTATTTCTTGTGTAAATGTTCACTACTAACCAAGGTCAATTCAATATCCTAAACACCAAGAGGGAACTCTTTTTGCATTGTGAATGTTGTGGCTGCAGCTAGGGATGTTGGAGAATTCTGACGAAAATGGAAACAGGAGCGGAAATTGCCTGTGTTTGTTTATTTGTCCCATGTCCGGAAATCCATTGAGTATGATCAGTAATTGCTGCTGTTGTTGCTTTCAGCCCTCAAATGATAAGCAATTGATTCCAACCCTTCTCTCCCATATTTGCATTGTGTTTCCTTTGTATTCCTTGCAGAATTTTGGAGAAGAGCAAAAGAGTTAAAGGTTTACTGCATCTCAGTTTGCCTATTGCTTCAAGGAGTGTGAATTACATAAACTTGGCTTAAAATGCAAGTGGAGCCAAATTTCACCTCCACCCCTAGATTGGGCAAGGTGTGCTGTCTCAGTAATGGAAAGGCCGGTCCTGAAATGGTCAAATCATACACCACGAATGTCAACAGGAGACAGATGTGGAGCCAGGGTCCATTTCAGCACTTGGAACTCCTTGACCAGTTGTTGAGAGCCCAGTGCCGGGTAGGGCACACCAGCACTAACACCTACCTCTGGCCCTCATGTCAGGTATATGGGTCTGTGAGTCACCATTCACGTTTCCCACAATGGCCCAGAACAACTGCCTGTTTCTTGTTCTGCTATGGCAAAACTTATGCACACTTACCTAGGACAATCTCTTCAAATGTTCATAGGATCTGTTTGTAGACAATAGTTTGATCCAATGCAGCGCTAAGTTGAAGTCTCTTAGTGGTATACTTGTTTCACTGGAAAAATGTGTTGCACCAATGGAGCACTGAGAGAATGCATAAGCAGCTTGCTGGTAACTTTGTTGTACAATAGACTGTGCAGTCTCGTATGGAACAAGTTTCTGCTAGCACAATTGTCGCAGTAGATTCCTCTGTTGCATAACATTAAAACTCAGCCACCCACTTGCACAAGTACCCTTGCGCTAGTGGACAGAAAACACTGAATACAGCCCATAGAAATGATGTGCTCATCAGTGTTTTGATCTGTCAGGTTTTTTTCCACCAGCAGAAGTTATTCCTAATTTAAAGTGTTCATCAGCAACTTGAATGTTCATAAAAAGCCATCTAACTCTTGTTTACAGCATTTGTGTGTACAGAAGACATCCCATAAAGGATTGACAAGTGGTTTATCTTACTCTGCTCCCTAGCAGCCTGGAATGCAGAAATGAAGCAACTGAAGTGTTTCCTATCACTTTGGGCCAATTCCCAGTCTTCAGTAGTTCCTGGTAGAGTGCTACAGAAGCACAGGAGGCAATAGGTTTGCAGCCAGGTGGTGTCCATGCCGTTTGCCAGAATCCTATGCTACCACTATTTTGCAAATCGCAACAGCCACACAAGTCTTCGCATTATCTATCCAAATAGTGCTTCCATCTGACAATCTCTCAGCTGCCAGCAATGGCCCTGCATGTTCCTTTGGCACCCTGTTTGCAAAATTTAACAATTCCAAAATACAGATGCACTTTCACTTTCACAAGATTAATATACTGTCTTCGGCTGTATTTGAGGGTTGATTTCAAAAAATTCCACTGGAAAAACGGTTATGTCCATGTGGTAATGACAGTATAGAGTCAGTGGCTCATGTGCTTCTGGCTTGCACTCTTTATAAAGATTTGAGGAGTGAGGTTATTACCCCTCTATTATTGTCCATGCCGGGTCGCTCAACCATTGCTACTGTGTCCTTTCTTTTAGCAGATCAAGATGATCATGGTTGTAAACCTTCAAAATGTATTTTGTATAGTTACGTTTTTACCTCTATCTTTAGTACATTTTGTTTTGTTTTATTGCTATGCCTAGTGGCCGATGCAAATACAGATCCTTCTGATTCTGATTGTTCCAAACCAGGGAATGCATCATTGGCTAAATGTCAGGCTGCACAGGAAGAAAGAGCTGGCAACACCAGCTCACTGAGTTTTATTTGTCATAGATGTACATTTATATCTTTATATTTTTCATAAACTTTTGTACTTAAGATATACACAATAAACAGCATTTCTTTAATTATGAACCAACAGTGGTTGTGGTTTTGCTTTCTTTCCTATGGAGAAGAGGAGGTCCAGAAGATGTAACCTCTGGTCAAGAGAAAAACCCAGAGAATTTCAATCTATTAGCAGCTGACAGAATTTAATGGAAGGAGTGGGGCTTTTGAGTTGTGAACTTGGACCTAACCTATGCTTCATTTTAATAGCTAGAGAAAATATTTGACTGATACTTTACAGAAGGTCAGGAGGCAGCATGCAGTGGATTTCTTGCCTCAACAGAATCTGCCCCTTCTGCCTTGAGATCAGCTAAAATGCTTGCTGGAGGAGGCCTGTGATTTGTCTTTCAACCTTTCAAACACACACCATTGGTAGAGAATGAAGTCAATCTTGCAAAGTGGCATTCTTCTTCAAGGTAGGAGGGAGAAAAAGGAAAAGAACAGATACCCCTACCCCAGGCTTCTGAGAAACTATGGTACAGTTTCTCCAACCGCCTGGATAGCTCAGTTGGTTAAGAGTGTGGTGCTGATAATGCCAAGGTTGCAAGTTTGATCTCTGTGTGGGGCAACTGCGTATTCCTGCATTGCAGGGTGTTGGATTAGATGATCATCAGGGTCCCTTCCAACTCTACAAGTCTATGGTTCTATGGACTAGATATACAAATGGTTCTAATCTCAAGCCTCAATCACTTACCCATGCTCACTTACCTCTCTTCCTGTATCTGCCTGGTTCCAATTGTTACCCTCAGTCCCTTGTAAAATGTTAAGCACTCCTAAGCTCTTGCAGGCATCTCTGAGCTCACGGAAATATATTCTGGCACGATGCCCTCCAGATGCTGACTCCAGCTCCCACCATCTCTGTCTACAGGCCATGCTGGCTTGGGTTGATGGGAGCTGTCATCCAAAACACATGAATGGCACCAGGTTGGGAAAAGCTGGAGTAGAGGCTCCTTACAGCGATCTTGTTGTTGTTGGCTGGCATGACTGGAGTTCAGCGTTCTGTGACTACTGAACAAATTCTTTGTGTGTGTATGGTCCTCTCAACTCAGATTTTTCCAGATTGCTTTTTGTATTTTTGCAAGTGTTGTGGTTTCACCCCCAGTCCAGTGGGTGCTGTTTGCATGGTGCCATTTTGGCTCATAAGCAATGGCACTTAAAACCTGGGCATTGGAAATTGAGGGACATTCCATTCCCCTCTCCTGGAAAGGAGGTCAGAGTTGCGTGCAGAGGATTAAAATTCAGCGAACAGCTCTGCTCATGGCAGCACCTTTGCTTGCAAAAATAATGTGGACACTTAAGCATTGCAATTTTACAAATACTTAGCACCTAAGTAAACTGAAAAGTATTTTACTTTGGTTGAGAAATTGTCAAGTTGCTCCTCTCCCAGGAGAAATGTTGTGTATTTCCCAGCTATTCTGGTTCTCTCCCTAGTCACCTTTGCAAAGAAACAGTGGGTTTTTAAACATCACATTTTTATTATTACTTAACACCTAAGTGTCTTACCATGGTTCAGAATGTCTAATGTGGGTTCATGCCAAAGAAACTGTCCATTGCTCAGAAGCAGCCCCACTGAATTCCATGGGGATTGCTCTCTGATAAATATGTGTAGGATTGCAGTCTTAATTGGTTAAAGGTGCCACATAGGACTGCCAACATGGACGAGGTATAGCCTTCAAGGAAACAACTCTGAGCACTCTCAAAACAAATGTATTGACTCAGGTCAACCCAGACTGCAGACCTGATAAAATGAAATTTATTATAAGGCTGCCATCATGACAACAGGAGTGAGAGAGAAACTGCACAGCCAGGACTAACTGCCAGTAGTTCTGGTAAGATCAAAATTACTACAACATATCCCCGCCCCGGTCTGGGGACAGAAGGGTGGGACCTCCTGGCCATAGCAATCCTTTTGGATGGAGATTGAGTGGTGCAGAGATTTGATTGGCCAGGGATTGGAGATGGACAGAAAAAGCCTCTCTCTGTTAAAATGGATTGTAGAAGGATCTGTGTAACAGGAAAGAGCATGGTATTGAGATTTTGGGGAAAACGTTTTGGGGGGAAATTGGCATTTTGCTTGATAGGGCTGAGCCCCAATGGATCAGTCTATAGTGCATGGGTACCAGAAAAGGGACTTGGTCACGAACTTGCCCCCCTGCTTTTTTCCTTCCACCGTGAATGTTGCTGTCATTTTATGCTTCATTTGCCAGTGCACCAGTTGTCAAGAAAGCAGGAATTTGCCTTTGGGAAGCAGGGAGAGCAGCACAACTGAATCTTAAAAACAGTATAAAAGAAAATAACAAAAGCATTCTTTTTTTAAAAAAAACCCCACACAGTTCTGTGCCTCCTACCTACAACCCTTTTCTCTCAAGTAGGGTGTTTATTTTTAGATCTGTCTGTCTGTTCCGGTTCATCAAGCTTCGGCATGGAAAGTCATGTAGAAAGGAAAGGAATTCCCAGGAAGAAATGCAGGCAGCGTTCCCGGCAACTCTGCTGGGATGTCCAGCATCTTCATTCATGCTGCAATATGTTAAGGAACTGGGAAGTCCATGAAAAATGTGATTAGTATAAATTTAATGTTTGTTTGTTTTTAAAAAGGTTATATACACACTCCTGTTAAATGTTGCCATCAACATCTGATGTGTATGCTACTGTGTATGAAAGGCAGTATAAAAATATTTTTAATTGAATAATATAAATAAATTCCCCACAAAGTTCTTCTCTGGCTCAGAATGTGAACTCAGATCCTGCACACAAGCTATCGGGGCTCAACAAACCAGTTGCCAAAAATGAGACCCAGTCATAGAAGTTATTTAATATTACCCCTTTCCTCTTGATGAAACTCTTGTTTGTTGCTGTGAAACCACAAAACCAGCAGCTTCGTAGTCAATCTGCAGAGAAGTTCTTTTGGTTAACTTTTAATAAAATTCACCTTGTTTGCTTTCTGAACTACACAGACGGAGTACATTTGACCAAGCAAGCTTTTGATGGGTGAGTGGCCAATCAATTCTCTTAATTGTTTCCTGTAAACATTTCATAGGGTTGTTGGTCTCCATCCCAGATGTAAAACCCTCTGCTTGACACGGAAAGTTATTTTGAAATACAGGTAAAAATAAGGCAAAAACAGCAACAAACAACAGAGACCATCACCTTAACAATACAATACCATAAGATGGGGAGAGGAAGAGAAAAGTCAGTTTTGAAGTGTATCATGGGTGATCTTGTATAAAGCAAGAAACACACTAACTACTGAGAGACACTGGATGTGCAGGTCAGAAAATCCAAATAATGGACAGAAAATAGATAAATCATTGTCAGGAAAAAAACATGCACCAGCATTTGATTGGAATGCTATGAGATGTTTGAAGGGTTCCTACATATCAATTAAAATGAAACAGTGTTGCCATAATATTCTTTTAAAAATTGGAATTCATTGAGCAAGTTTGTATGTAATCATGGTCACCCTAATTGAATAAGGAAGTTTGCTTGGAACACAGGAAGCTGCGTTATACTGAGTCAAACCACCAGACCATTCATCTGGCTGTTGCCTATACTGACTGGTGGGAGCTCCCACTTCAGCAAAGAGTCTTTCCCAGAGACTGATCCTGTGATCTGTTGAATGCAAAGCCCGTGCTCTACCACTGAGTTATGACCCTTTCCCTATGGCAGTGAAAAGTGACTTTCCAAGCAGCCCTCTGCCATAGGTTGTGAGGCAAAGGAACCCATGTTAGACTTTCTAGGAGGAAATGCCATAACATACATGATAGTGGTACATCAGTGTGTATGCACCAACACTAGGACTTTTTTTCCTCACTAAGAAAGCTGGTAAATACTAATCCAATTCCAAATCAAACTGAGAAGAGTTCACCCATTTCTGAGGATGATGGGACATGTTGCTCCATTCCATTTAAAATGGTTTAAGTTCACCATGGTTTTGTGGGTTTTTTGTTCCTAAATGTCAAGCCTTTCACTTCACAACGGATGTTCATATAGTCAGCAGCTCAAATTTTCCCCTCAAGGTGTTCAGTTTTCTTTTCCTTTCTCCACAGATAAATATCTTTCCGTTGAAGCTTTGCATCATGGACCATAGTTGTGACAATACATGCCTTTTGGCTATGGTGTCTATATACAATGGTCTGAGCAGCCCTTTCATTTCGGAAGTGTCTGTGACTGAAGTGAGGCAGCACTTGTGAGCAATCACTGAGTGGCCAACAGGTGCTATCTTTGGAGCTAATAACTGTATTTACCCATGTGGGGAATCTTTCCTGTTTGAGTGATCTGACTGTTTTCCAGCCACTCAGCAAGAAGAATTTGGAGCCGTCAACAGGTGTCTACATTTTTTGAACTGTTATTTTGTAGAGATTGTTTCACCATATGTACATTAAACTAAATCATTTTTATATATATTTAGTGCACAATTTCCAGTTTCAGGGTTATAGAATCATAGTATCATAGACTTAGAAGGGACATCGCCTGTCTCATAGGCAGCAATGAGCAAATCTGTCAATTTCAGTTTCCCTCTGTTTCTTATTTTCACAATCTTAAATTAAGTTCCCCACATTCCTACTTCAGTTTGTGATTTCTTTTAAAAAGTCCTCATGAAAATTCACCAGCAGGTTTGAGCAAATTTCTCCCACTAAACAACTTTTTATAGGCAATACACATTATTGCAAAGCAAGTTTGCCTGATGTAATCCATTTATCCATCCATCCATTGTACATTATTTTCACCAATATATGCATTTTTGTGCACATACATTTTACCATAATGTGTGCCTTTTTGTACTCCTGATTTGGTTGGAGAACTACAAAATTCAGGAAAGTGCACATTTTGAGGAATCACTGTTTCGGTTCACATCTTGTTTCAGAAAATGAGAATTTGGTAAGTTCGCCTTTAAACGTGAAATGAATTGAAATTCAGAGTGTGAGCTGCTGAGCTCCACAATGGCTCCTCTCAGAGCAGGGTGTGGAGTCTGCAAACACCTGGCTTCCCCACCCCCCCAAAATTAAACTTCTCAGAACTGATTACCAACAAAAGTG